TAACAAAACCATTATACCCTGATTTCCCATTTTCAATGGGTTCAGGGTATAAACAGAAAAAAAAACCCAAGCAAAATTTCCGTTTGATTTATTCCTAAAGAGCATAGAGCATAGGGAACAGAGAACTGAACAAACCGGAAGTGCCAAGCCAAGCCAAGCCAAGCCAAGCCGAGCCGAGTCGAGTCAGAGCCAAACCAAACGCACATTCGGCTTTTGTTTTCTTTTTCAAAAAGAGTTTACAAAACAAATGAAATCATTTTGATTGACTCTTTGGCTGGACTCTTTTATCCATATCTATAGTACACATGGGTAGTATAGTCAGATGCAATGCATATGTATGGGTGTATTCAGCATTCAGACTATGGTATATTTAGTTGCTTACACATCCGTTCCATTTCGCATTGCACGCATTATTGGCGTTTCAACCAAAATAAAACTAAAACTCTGCTTTTGTCTTGTACAAATCGGAATATACTATAAATACATATATATACATATGTACATGCAAATGTATATATGTGTATGTATGTTTATACGTATTGAGTGTGCGCTTCATCGAGCACGCGCTCCCATATTTGATTGCAGCCGTAATTGATCTTCTATTTAAAATTGCTGGGAAATTGTTAGCTCTTGCGGGGTGTGTGTGCTCTGACTGTGACTGTGACTGTGCCTGTTACATATATACATGTGTGTGTGTGCGTGTGTGTGTGTTGTTTTAGTCATTTAGCAGTTGTTCCCAAAAAGAAAAATCAGTAAACGCCGAGTTGGTCTGCTCGGCGACGATGGCTCACGCAAAATTCAGTCGCTTTGAGCCGCGCGCGGAGTCAGCTACTCGAGAACTCGTCGCAACGATCCAGTTAAAAACGATTAAATATATATCCATATAACAAATACAACATCCTCAGCAGGGTAAAAAAAAACGAAAATAAAATAAAATATAATCATCGTTTCTCTGCAGCAAAATTGCGAGTGTTAAGTGAATGAATCAGCGAGGATTGTGAATTTGATTTAGATTTTGATTGGCATTGGCAAGACTTTGATACGATTGTATAATTCGATCAAGTGCTGATTGAATTAAGACGTCAGCGCATCCACCCACTATAAAAATACAGCAGAGTGAGCGAGAGAGGGCGCGCTATATATATCGAAGCCAAAACGTATTCTATATGCGATATGCGTGTCAATGTCTGGCGGCGAGTCGCGCCTAGGGCAGGCAATATCTCTGTAGACAGAAGTGTACCTAATGTGTGTGTGTGTGTGTATGTGTATGATGCTGGTTGCTTGTGTATCTGTGTGCTATTACAGGTGGCATATAAATCTGTTCAGTGAAAGATCTTGAGTGAAAGAACAACGAGGGCTATTCTGTAATTATGCTGAACCGAGTGAAACTGAAAGGAGAAGAACTGAATGAACTACTTTTTGCTTTTATATAAAAATCAGCTGTATAGCGATTTCTACTATTTTCATATATACCATATATACAAAGGAATAAATTAACAATTTTTAAGTAAAAATGTACATATATTTATAGCTAAAATTAATGTTGAGAAAATTTGCTCACTTTAATAATACTGAACAAAAAATATATAAAAATACATAAACATTTCTATAAGCTATAAATTTCATTTAAAGTATACATATATACAGGTGTATGCTATAAAAATTATAAAAAAATCATTAAAGTTGTATTTCACGTTTTAACAACTCAATTGCCATGTTTAAGACCTTTCACAATCAAATGTCAAGTTTTATAAAAAATATAAGCAACGGCATTTTATCGAATTAGAGTTATTAATAATTCTTGCTTGATTGCTCAACACAAGCTTCGGCTATAGGCTATGAGCACTCCAAAACAAAACGAGATGGCAGAATACTTTTCCTTTAGAAAAAATCATTTTAATTAGAGAATCATAAGAATTTTCTCTTAGAATTCGCTCTTATATTTCTATTTCCAATCAGTATATATCAATCAATATAATTTTACCTTGATCTACCTTAAACTAATAGATGAAATGTCTTCATTTGCTAGTCCTCAGTGCTTCCACTGCCGGTGCTCACTGTACTTAACAATTGAAACAGCTCGTGAGGTTCGTTTCTCTTAGCGTGTTTCTTGTCGTTTGTCGCTTGATTCAAATATAATTTTATAACAGTCTGTGAAAGTCTTTGTAAATTCTAAACATGCGCCAAATGCGATGACTCATCCCTCATAGATGTTTATGTGTGTGTGTGTGTGTGTGTGATAGTTTTTTTTGTGTTTTTTTGTTTTTGCTTTGCTGTGGGCAACTTTTGAATGGGTGCCAAATGCGGCTTCCTTGGTCGTATTAATTATTGCTGTTCAACGTCGCGATGTTTGTTTGTCAATTTGTCTTCGCTCGGTTTGTTGACTGCAGCATTTATTTTGGTTAGAGAAACCAATGAAACCAATGGAAGGCGAGCATCGGCCGCAAAACGAGCATAAATTTGTTGACAAGTGTAAATGTCAGCAGCCAGAAAATGTATACATGTATCTATGTGGAGCGAGAGCATAAAACTCAGCTAGAATGTGAACTTGCGCCCCTGAAAATGTCATGTTTAGCCCACCCAACGAACCACTGAACCACTGTCAAAATGTAGACAACTGTGTCACAAGAGCCAACCACTCATTCCCCCTATCAACAGGCGTCTGGACACCCAAGAGCCAAACACCGTACGGCTCCAGCAACGAGCTAGATCACAGCTCCTCGGCGGCGCCCACACCACCGCCGCCGCCCACGCAGCCCGTGTGGACGCCGCAGCCGTCGCCAGCGTTGAGCGGACGCAAGGAGTTCCGTCCCGTGCGCTTTGAATCGCCCACACTCCCGCGACGCTACACGGCCCTGCAGCAACAACAACAGCCAGCGGCAACGACGACGACGACGACGACACCACCGTGGTCTTATACAAACGGCAGTTGCCCGGTGCCTGCACCACGCAGCAGCACCACCACCACCACCAGCACCAATCTGAGCACGCCGCCCTCAACGCTGAATTCCAACAACTCGGACTACGCGGAGACCGATTATTCCAATCAATTTGGCCCCGTGGCACCCAGTGCCAGCGTCTCCGACAAGATCAAAAGTAGATAATATTCTCCACATGTGTGCAAGCGTTAGGAAAGCTATTTGTGAATACCTTTAGTGATTAGAGAGGAGAGATTTAGGGGTTTGATGAGGGGACATTCGGAGATCGGCGATCTATAATTATTAAATCGGATCTTCAGAACTTTCAAAGAAAATCTATGATATGAAGAACAGGGATCTATATATTGATGGGAGATAAAAGATCTCTCTATGTATTTTATTAATGAATATCTAAAATTAACGATTGTGAAATGAGGACACTAGATGAAATCTATATAATACCCTAGTTTTACTATCAAATGTCAGAGATCATATTCGAGTATTAGAAATCATATATCAGTATGTCTTTGAAGAGTGCTAACAAACAAGATAAATGAGAAAGCAGAGACGTGAAGAATTTCATAAACAAAGTTTGCTAAAACATAGATCTAAAGTATTTGTTGTGATTTTATAATTGAGAATCATAGCAAGTAAAGAATGTATAGACAATAGTGTCTAGTCAATCCTAAATAATAACTGTAGCTAAAAAGGAATACCTTTAATTTTTACAAAATCTTCTTATAATTTATATAAAGCAATTAGAGCATCTCCAAAGATCTTGACACTTGCAACACTCGTATTTTGCTGTTCAAACTAGACTTATTCGTCCGCCAGCTTATAAAGGTTTCCCCTATTCATATGACTCTCTAAACATTTTCTCATTTGTGAAGCATTTGAACGCTCGGCTTCCACATCGGAGCTGTACAGGCCGTTCGCACGCCGTCAACAGAACGACACTAGCCGCGCCGTCTATAGGCCCAATGAAGTCAGTAAGTATATCCATTGTAGGCCCCGTACAACACGAAAGTTGTATGATACGAACAGTTCGAGCGCGTTCACAAGTCGTTCGCACACAAGCAAGATTAACAGCGGCAGGTGCTGCATTCTAAATGTTTTACACACGTTTATTTCCACTCGTTTTCCACTCCCCTTCTTGCGAATTCCACCTAAAAAACAAAAACAAACACTGACTCCACTAAAACTAAAAACAAGAATTAAAACAATCTCGGTTTACAGTCTACAAAGTCAAGCACGAGTATATGAGCGAACCGGAAACGGAAAGCGATCGCCCGAGAAAAATGGCACAGTTAGGTCGACGGCAATACGAAGGGATCGGTCCCGTTACCAACGATGGAATGCCCATCATACTCAGATCGGTAAAAGCAAAAACAAAACAGAAATCAGCTCAAGTTCAGCTAGCGGAGCGAACACACAATCTTCCCTATTTGATATATAAATATTTTGTCTGTTACGCTGCAGGAGGTCCAGGAACCGCATCAGCATGAATGGTATAAGCGCCTCTATCAGACCATACATAAGCAGAAGAATGGCGGTAAATGTTTTACCACTCAGATCCAACAGAACTTGAAGCATTGTGAAACCCAGCCATAACCACATTCCCATATATAACTTGTGATCCACTTAACCAATATCCCTATAATGCTTCAGTTCTGCGCCTGCTGAACTAGTTGTTTAACTCTCTGAATTCTCTTTTTCGAATGCCACTCCTCTACTATATATATACCATATGTCACCAATTGTACCCATCCCCATACGCTTTCCACACTCTGTCTCTCTTTGTCTTGTCAAATCGCACTCAACAGACGAATTTGTGATACGCTACAAGTGTCCCAGAGGTGATTTTTGAAAACTCTTTATAACTTATCGTACTTTTAGATGTATACATAATCTATTCTAAATTCAGTTTAAGCTTTGCTTAAGTAGCGCCCACTTATCGCTTCGCCTGCTTTTGGTAGTAGCTGTAACATTTATGATTTCTAATTTGGACATTTTCCTTTTTATCAGTTGGCATGCGGAATTCGATTTAATCATATTTATTATTGGACTTTATTATATATATTATATTATATTATTTTTTGGTCATTTTTTTGTGCCATTTAGCTCATTGGAACGCTTGAAACAAAATTTCTACACTAATCTTAAACTAAGTACCTACTCATACACCAAGCTCTAACATTATGTCTGCCCAAAACAACAACAATAATAATAATAATAACCACAACAATTGCAACATCCGTGATAACAACAACCACAACAACAGCAACAACAACAACAACTTCAGTAGTGCTCGTAAATTTCTAACTATTTTCATTACAATATGTTCAAAAATCTAATTGGATTTCTATCTATCATAACCTTATGCAGCTCGTCCATCGTATAAGAGCAATGGTTATGTCTCTGAGCCCGAGCCCAACTACGATTCCGATTACTCAACAGTAAAATATCGTACACCCAATCCGCTGCGCGTACAATCGGTCTCATCGGCTGTAAACGTGCGCAATCTAAGCCAGGACGATAAGTAAGTTCGGGAAACTCTACCTTCTAGAAATACTTGTATATTTACCTTAACTAAAAACTCTCGTTTCAGATTGTATGGTACTATGCCCAATCCCATAAAATCGGCACAAAACTCATACAAGAATCAACCTGGTCGCATCGAGGACTATACCACGGGTCATTCGTCCGTTTCGGAGAAGGAGAAGAAGGAGGCAAGTGCCCAAGTCAGCAGCAGTCTCTAGTCGCGCACAGAGCTCTATCCCTATCAAGAACTAAACTATGTGAACTCGTCCATGGCTAATGCTTAACATCCACAATTCTTTCCATATGCTCTCAACTGCTTTTCACTCATTTCCCCCCATTCACACTTTCACTATATATAATACCCCCCATATCTGACACACGATTTCATACGCACGCCTTCATTATTCTACATTATTTTCGTCCTACACAAATCGCGTTGCAATTTATCTAACTCACAGCAAATTATTCTATTCACAATTCTAGTGGTGGGACGAAGTGATGGACATCTTTAACGGGGTATGAACGCTAATCTATATAATTTCTAGTCATAGATTATAGATTTTTATTATATTTTTTTTTGTGTATACCCTGCGCCCATAAAAAATGGGTAGATTAGCTTTCTGTTAAGTTTTCGTTGAATGGTGAAATCCTTGAAAATATGCTTTAGTATATCTTATCTGTCTTATCCCCTTTCCTATTCAATAATTACGCGTCACGCTAAGTGGCTCAGGGAACATACTCGCATACCACGCATTATAATAGAGTTCGTCGATGATATTGATAATGATGCAGTAAGTCCCAAATAGTCGAGTTAAGTATCTCTAGGGTCTCATTGCGTCCACAAACGGCACTTGAAATACTAATTTTTACAGTAAAAATTAAACAGTCTTGAAATCGTTTCATTGGAAAATTAGTTAAATGAGTAATGCCTAATCTTGATTTATCTATTTATTACAACACAGAATTTGGAACAATCGAAACTATCGCCGCTTTACACAGAAGGCAATTTGTCAAGGTAAGCAAATCTGTTCCTCCCTAAACTATTCCTCTATTAATATTTTACATTCGTATCATCCGCAGAGCTCTGGCCAAAGAATCTGGTTATACCAGCGATTCCAATCTAGTCTTTCGCAAAAAGGAGCTGCCCGTCAGCAGTCCGCTGAGTCCCGTGGAGCAGCGTCAGGCCTACAAGAGCTTACAGGCCGGTGGTGAGCCGCCTTTGCTTGGCTTCCGCAAGCCAGCGCCCGAGAAACCCAAAGGTAGGATAGTTCACAATTGAACTAGTTCATTTAATCTTAACATGGTTTCTCTCACAACACTAAATAACTAAAGTTAAGGCGCAGTTGTTCGTACTAATTCTTCAATTGGTGTTGGTTTCTCTCTACAACCTTCAAGCTCTACTCTGTTCTACTACTCCTCGAGTCTAACTAGCTAGTACTGTTCTTAATCAATTGGTAAACAATATATACCATATATATATATATGATAGTATACACACCCACTGCCACACTAGAAGTTGTTATCAGCAAATGCGTCGAGCGTTCTTTGAAGCACTGCAGCACCGGGCACCCTCTATAAAGTCGCGGCTCCTATGATTAATATGCAAATCTCTCTCCTGATTTCGACTCTTCCGACAAAACCAAAAGAAATTGTAGAAGAGTTTGAATTTATACAGATAACGCCGACGCTAACCAAAATACGCGTCAGCACCAAGCCTTTAGAGGAGTCTAAAGAAGAATCAGATAAAGTCAAGGCAGCAACGCCAACTGCAGCAGCACCGCCACCACCACCTCCTCCTCCGCCACCGCCACCACCGCCGCCGCCACAGCCGGCTACAGCTAGCAAAATGTTTACGCATTTCTCGAAGAATCTGCCCTCGTTTATACCGTTAAGCAAGAAGCAGCAGCAGCAGCAGCAGGAGACTCCGCCTCTACCACCGAATCGTCGCTCCTCCTGCACGAAGAGCACGGTGCGCGTGGAGAAGATAACGAGCAGCTGCTCGAAATCGCGCCACGATCAATGCTTTCAGCCACCAGGCGGGACTAGCACTAGCAACAGCAATACGATTACCCTGCGCAAGGTCTCTACCGCGCGTCGGGAGCCCATCTGTCGCTCCAAGTCCACGGGCGCTGTGTCCACATTGCTGGCCACGCTGACCGCCACCAAGGAGACGCGCACCAAGGACGGCTGCCTGATGAGAGTGCAGCAGCAGCAGCAGCATCACGCTCGCCTCCGCTCCGTCAGTCCGAGCCGTCGTCCGGCACGCCTCCTGGCGCTGCGTCACTCGAGTCGCAGTCCCGTCGCCTTTGGCCGCAGCATCTCCAAGGAGCGCAGCTTTGCCGAGGAGAAGAAGCGACTGGAGAATACGCTGCCTGCGGGCCGCACAAACTTTGAGGCTAGCACGAATATACTGAGGGATCCCTCGCTGAAGTCGCCGCAGGAGGTGCGCGAGGCGGTGCGCTCGTATGCCACGTGCAAGGCGCAGCATACGCGCAGCAAGTCGCTGCCGCGCTTGCGCCACAGCACCGTTAGCACCACCACGCGCCACACCATGTGCTTCCCCCAGGTTCGGCCGCAGAATCTGCTCGACTGCAGTCGCGCTCTGAAGAAGGTGATGCCCAAGTGCAGCAAGGCGCAGACCCAGACCGTTGCCACGGTGCATCGCAGCGCCTCGAATGAGAGCTTGCCGCGCAGCAACTCCACCTTCTCCATTGACTCGGTGGTGCGGCAGGAGTATGTGCCCATAGCACCGCCCAAAACCTATGTGGGTAAGTCGAAGCCAGCCAAATCGCTGCCAGCGCCGCTGCAGATCAGCCGCAGCGAGGGTCACGTGCCACGCAAACGCGTCGGCACCACCAAAACCGCCAAGACCACTGCCAAGTCCAAGCCAGCTGTGGCCCAGCAGTCCTACAGCGAGACGGTGCGCGAGAAAACTCACTTCTGGAACGATTACAATGCCAAGCAGAGCCAGAGCCAGACCCAAACGCCCCACTCGCTGCCGCAGCTAATCAACGGCGGCACCACCACCGACTACAAGTACTGCTCGCTGGTGGAGCCGGGCTACGGCGAGGATATCTATGACTACACCGCACCGCCTCCCTCCAGCTGCATTGAGGATCTCGTGTGGAAGTATGAGAGCAAGGCACAGTCGGGCGCCCGACCTCAGGCTGTCACAGACATCGCCCGTCCGCAGTCGCCCGAGGTAGTGCAGCGTCGGTTCTCACCCACGCGCGAGGTGCGCGTGCCGCAGCAGCCACCGCAGCCGCAGCCGCAGCAGCAGCGGGAGGTGCGTTCGCCCTCTCGCCGTCGCATCGACAGTCTGCGCTCGAGCCAGCGCCAGGACAAGGAGCACCAGCAGGCGGTGGCACGTGCCAGCAGCCTGAGTAGTGCCGACGATCGCAGCAGGCGGCAGCAGGGCGGTGCAGACAGCACTGCCGCTGGCGGCCTCTATCAGTGCGGGGAGCTGGCGCACAGTGCCACCTCGCTGGTGCAGCTGGAGCGGCACAGTCCGAGCTGCCGGTACCGCAACAACTGCGAACGCTTCACCGAGCTGAATCGCTTCTACAGCACCTTGGAGCGGGTGGGGCAGCTGGAGCGCGCCACCTCGGCGAGCAACTTTCATCCGTTGCGCAAGGATGCGGAGCTGCTCGACTTCGATGAGTGGCGCAAGGTGCGTCTGCACGAGCGGGCCGAAAAGGAGCTGCAATATCTGGTCGGCAAGCTGCAGTCGGATCAGCGGGAGCGCGATCTGCACTTTCGCTCGAAGGACGTGAATGAGATCAAGTGGCGGCAGGAGGCGGACCAGGCGCTGCATGCCAAGCAGAAGTCCGTCGAGGATTTGCGCGAGAATTTCGAGCAGCTGCAGCTGCTGAAGCGGCAGCGCGCCGAGGCGCAGCTCCTGCCGCCCGTGCAGCGTCAATGGCGACGCAATACCGTCGCAGATCTGGCCAGCAGCCTGGAGACACAATCACAAGCGCAGGCGCAGCCGGAGCGACATCTGAACAACGATCTGGTCAGCACACTCTCCAAGGATCAGATCAAGAAGATAACCCAGCAGCTGAACGAGATCTATGCGGGCAATCGCAGGGCCACAGTGGAGGAGCAGTATGTGGTGACCGTGGAGAAGGACTCCAAGCCGAGCAGCCATGCGAACACGCTGAAGGTGCGCTGCAACTCGACCATCAACAAGGAGCAGCTGCTCGGGCCGGTGCTGCGCAAGCGCGAGGAGCAGCAGCAGGCGCAGACGCTGCCACGCGCCACGCGCAGCCAGTCGCCGGTGGTGGTGGCTCGCGAGACACGCGGCGCCATAGCCGCCAAGAATGCGGAGTTGAGCCTGAGCAAGCCGCCCGAGGTGCCGCCGAGGCCCAAGCCCAAAGTGGAGTCCAAGCCAAGCGCGGCCAAGGCTGAGCAGGAGTCGCAGCCGTCGCAGCAGTCGCTGGAGCCGCAGGAGTCCAAAGAGAATCCCATCAATCAGAAAATCCAATATTTCGAGGAGCGACAGTTCGAGGAGCCCAGCAAGACCATCTACCATGCGCGCGAGGACAGCTCCCCGGACGAGGCCGAGGTGATGCGCCTCATCGAGCAGAACATGCAGGCCAGGCAGCAGGCCCGACACCACCACAGTCACAGCCACAGCCACGCCCACGCCCAGCTGGTGCACACGGAGCTGAGCAACTCGCTGACCGATTTGAGCGGCATCTACGGCGAACGCGCGGCGGCCCGTGTAAATTTTCACTTGCACAGCCCGCCCGAGCGGCCGCCCGAGGACGAGGACGCGGCCGATCCGGCGGTCGAGCTGCACAGCTACGGAGCTGGTTCGCCCGGTGGCAGCGTTGAGCTGTACGACGCGTACTACCGGTCGCGCAGCCTGTCGCCGCAGTCGCAGGTCTCGGCCTGCTCCAGCTCCTACCTGCAGCGCGTCTACACCGGCGAGGTGCAGAAGATCAAGCAGAAGTTCGAGAGCATCGAGCGGGAGCAGTCCAATGAGCGGCGTCATTTTTTTGGGCTTAGCCAGCTGCGGAAGGCGCGCAGCGATCCTCAATTGAAGGCCGGAGGATCAAAAGACGCCTCGGGCAACGCTGCGGATGCGTTGCCAGCCGCCGACGACGCCGTCAGCCAGCTGACGCACAGGTTTGAGTTGCGCGCTGCCACGCCCACCGGCTCACCGGATCGTGGCAGGCGGCGACAGCGCGCACGCCTCATGCCGCACATCGACATCATCAGCAAGACGGCGGAGCTGCTGCCGGCCAAGGCGGCCAGTCCGACGCGCAGCCACAGCAGCAACAGCTGCTCCCAGGGCCACGTGCAGACGCTGCGCCATCGCTACGAGTCCCCCGAGCCGGGCCAGAGTCTGCCCCAGCGCTATCTGTCCACCTCGCTGGCTGATCTGCGGGATGTGCACGATATCTCGCCCCACCTGAGCGGCGACTGGGTGGCCCACAAGCATCCGCAGCGCACGCCGGCGCTGCCCAAGAAACCCCAACGTCAGCCGGGCCCCAGAGCCAGCTCCGCCTCGCCCATGCGTCCGGCCAGGACGACTCAGCAGCCACAAACCACTTCCGACATCTTTGCCAACCAGCCATTCGATGCCCACAAGCATCGCCCCAAGGCGCGCTATGTGCCCGACGGGGAGCCAGCGGCTGGCGCCCGGCGTTGCCCGGTCGGCAGTCTGGAACGTCTCAAACGCAGCGCCATGGCGGTCACATTTAAAGGTAACTCAACTATCTGACAGTGTTGCAGTGGGTGTGTTCCTCTCTCTCGCTCTCTCTCTCTCTTGGGTTGTTGCCTGCGCTCATCTAATCTCGTAGTCCTAGGCTTGGATTATCGTTACTCTCTTTCTATTTTGGAGACTTGGCTTACAATTGGTTTTTCGCTCACAATTCGAAATTATTTTTATCCATGTTCTGTATTGTCCATTTGTCCATTGCTGGCGTAGATTTTGACTCGAGCGCCGCACCACCACCGCCCATACCCCCACAGCCGCCACTCAAGGGCCCGGGGAGCCACTCGGGCTACGAGCCCTACAGCCCATTCGTCTACAGCAACGGTGATCAGACTGATTCGGGTACAGGTGAGTCTGCAGCCAGGTGGCCAGCCAGTCAGCGGCGTTGCCAGACCGATGCTTGTCAAGTGTACTAAAAACAAATTGAGTGTACTAAAAATGCCGCAATTCCAAATGATTTGCATTTCGAAGGGGGGAACTATTATTAACTACTCATCTAAGTCTTTTAGAACTCTGATTTCTATAATTCCATTGCTTCTAAACAAATTAATATTTTTATTATTTTTATTTAAAAACTGTTCGCTTGATATCTAATTTTAACTTGATCTTTGTGTTTAAAGAGTTCAAGACTTAAGATATTATCACATATCTCACAAGGAGCTCATAAGCTAACATCTGTATTTAAATGTTTGGTTCTTCAGTTCTTTCACAACACAATTATTTACGCGTAAGAAGCCAGTTCTGACCTTGGGGCCCATGAAATAGAATACCCTGAACAAATATACATTTAGATAGACTTATTTTGGTTATTATAATTAGATTTGTACCAAAAACTTAGGACAAGTGATCAGAGAAATGTAAAAAAGCCAAATAATATTATTTAAAATATTATTTTGAATGTAAACCATCTAAAGTTATTATATCTATACAAAAATATAGATACAAATTTATTTGAGATCTAAGAGAACTATTTAAAAATATTAAATATATTCTAAAATTATGTAAAATATATTTGTGTATTGTATGTACATATATATAATCGAAATTGATAATTAGCTTAAAGATAGTCAAGCAATTCGCGCCTCTCTCTCCCCACCTTCCAACTGACTTCACGTATATCTTTCTTATATACAACATGGGCATATATATTTCCCACATTAACCCAATTCCACGCTTAATTACTTCACATTCGCCTTCGTCAATCTTATCAACCAGCTTATGCCTCAGTCCGACCCCCCTTCACATTGAATTTCTGCTGGCTACGCCTCTGCGTGCTGCGTTCATTCAACGACCTTTGCGAAATTCCGTTTTTATGCTCTTTGAGGTATTTTGTGGGGTCTGCTTTTACTACCGCAAGAAATTTCCGCAATTGCTGCAATAGCAATGGCTTTTTGTTTAGAAGGTGCGGCGCGTGCATTAGTTGGCCAAATTAATCGATAGGGCCAATAGCAGAGAGCCAAAACTGACGGCCAGCGCGTTGTTGACCCGCTTACCGCCACCTGTCCAAGGCGCAAGCCGAGCACGAGCTCGACCATCGAACCGAGCGAACGAATATCCAACAACCCTCAAAGCCGGCCCAGACGTTGCCATGGCCAAAATGTGTCAACAACACAAACAACAACAACAACAACAGCAACTAGAAGAAGAAGAAGAAGAGGGAGAAGAAGAAGAAGAACAAGAGCGGGCCGAGCTGACGTTGGTTACCTGTTCAGCGCGGCCTTTCCATTCAGTTAGTTTCACTTTTCCGTGCCAAAAACGTCAACGCTCGACAATTTCCCAATTAAATGCGACGCGCGTCAATTTCCACTTACATAATGCACCACTGAGTGGTGCGAAAAAAACAAAATCGAAATTCTATGTAGAAGAAAAAAAGCAACCGCTAGATGAAATAGAAATAAATTTTAAAAAATAATTATGATACATCAAACGTTAGCGCCGCGACGCAGCGACACCTACGCGGCGGCCCACCAACAGCACCCTGGCAACAGCAACCGTAGCAGCAACCACCACGGCAACAGCAACAGCAACAGCAACAACCACAGTCGACGCACTGCCTCAACGGCGGGAAATCGCGTGCACTGGCGACAGTCGCATCAAAAGCTGCACAGCAGCTGCAATGATTTAGAGCTGACAGATGACAACATTCAACAGCAGCAGCAGCGGCAGCAACAGTTGCGCCGCAGCAACAACAACAACAGCAACAGCTTTGATCAGTGGCAGCAACGTCCGCTGAGCAGCGATGGCAACAGCTACTACAACAACAGCAACAACCTGACGCCAGCCACGCTGCATCGCAGCGTCTGCGATGTGCCCAGCTGTGGCAAGTTGCTGTGGCTGCGGCGGGACACAGCAGCAGCAGCAGCAGCAGCAGCAGCAGCAGCGCCCATGGTGCCACCACTGCCGGCAGCAACAACAACAGCCACAACAACAACAACCACAGCAATGAGCTATCATATTGTTGGGCTGCCCCCCACGCCGTCACCGGCGCAGCGTCAGGCATATTTGGCCAATCGACATGCCATAGGCGCCTCCATGCCGCTGCTCATGTGGCAGCAGCAGCAGCAGCAACTGCAACTGCAACAGCAACTGCAACAGCAGCAGCAACAGCAGCAACTGCAGCAACAACAACAACAACAGTGGCAGCAGCTAAGCGGCAGTTAGTATAGCGCTTAATATACACATCTCTCCCATCTCCCGTCCCGCCCTTCACTTGCAACCCAACACGTCCCCCTTGGCCCAAGCATGTGCAGCCTCCTGGCACGCCCACTCATAAGGCAAAAACGTTCACTTTCTCAATTTTTGATTAAACGATTTTCCAGTTTTGCGCTTTCTCACGCTATTAAATTTTTCTTCTTCTTCTTTTTTTGCAAAACTTGAAACTTGTTATCAAAGCAGAGAGAGAGAGAGAGAGAGAGAGAGAGAGAGAGAGAGAATGAGGCAGAGAGCGCAACAGATAAAAGAGAGTGTGTGGGAGAGGGAGAGAGAGAGTGAAGGACTATCTCTCTTTTTCGATTGCCACGCTTTTGTCATGCATCTCACGTTTTTCACGTGCTGCGCGATAAAAAGCTTCGCATTGTTGGAGCTTTCTGAGGTGCAACGATCTCTTCAGACTCTGATCTTGTGCTTGGCTCCAGACAGTGGGTCACAAAAGTACGTGAAATCGAAATTTAAATACAATACAAATCTTTAAATATATTTATAATAAATTCCATTTTCCATTGAGATTGCATAGAATGAAATGCAGCTAACGGATTAATGGCAAATTGGCTTTTTCTACTCAAAACTTTTGTATAATATCAAAACGAAATATAAGGCAATCATTGTAATAAACTAAAATTCCGTTTGCGATAAAGTCCAGCTCTAAGACTGTCTGGATGTTAGCAATCCGAATTCGGTAATAATATCAAAACTTTCAGACAGGCTTTAAATATTTTAAATATAATGTATACATGTTTATATTACATAAAACATGTAAATAAGTGGATAAGCTAAAAGCTGCAGTTCAATGCAAATATCAGTAGATGATTAATAAATAGCTTATCCATCTAATGATCATAAAATACAATATTAAATATAGGTTAATTTAAAAAAGGTTTTATTAATATTTATTTAAATATTATTATTATATTTTTTATTTATTTACTTCTTTTTTATTTATTTGTTTTTATTAATTTCATACCTCTTTTCACATTTCAAAATATTTCTAAATATTTTCCCTTAAATTATTTCAACAATTGAATTTGATTCATTTGACAATGTGTCATCCAGTTCACGTACACTCGAGCCCGCGGCTCTTATCAACTGTGCGTGAGTTAATTGCCCCACTGTAAGCACTTCGCACATCGACCACAACAACAACAATCAGTAGTAGTAAGAGAAGAAGAAGAAGAAGCAGCAGCTGTGCAATGTCTGAATAAACGTGCGATTTGAGGTGGGGCGCCAAAGAAACGGCATTCGTTGTACGACGATAACTGAAATGCGACAAAGCCGCTTCAGCCTTGCCTCTCTCTCTCTCTCTCTCTCTCTCTGTCTCTCTCTCTCTATTCCACTCTATGCTCTCACTTGCTCATTCACTCAATCTTTGCATTTCATTCAGTTTGAATTTCAGTTTTCGGTTTCGGTTTCAGTTGAGCGCAACGCGTGCTACGAAGCAGTTGTTAGAGTCGCGCGCCCCTATCGATCGATCGACTTAAACGAGTTTGGAGCGAGGTTCGTGCATTGGCTAAGCCGAGACACCTTTGGCTACTAGTTTATCAGCTGAACGACCTTCTCATACTATCTATCTAGCTGTGATTCTGATTGATTGTGTGACTAAGCACAGTGAGGTGAAGCGAAGAGTGGAGTGAGGCGAAAAAGAAAAGGTTTTTGTTTTCTGTCGTAAGCGCTGATTAACCTAACTCGAAAGGAAAAGCCGGCTTAACGGGGCAAACAAGTGCATGTGTGTGCGTGTGTGTGTGTGCCTGCAGTGAAAGATGAAAATCGGCAACACTTTCAAAACGCTGCAAATTGCGCCGCCTCAAACAAATCAGTGAAAGTGAAAAATCTCTCAAGTGACAATTATTTCTCCTTTTTTTCATTTATTTTTCTACTTTTTTTTTTTTGTTTTGCTGCATACAACAATAAAAAGCAGTTTGTTTGCTGTGCTTTATGATTTTTTAAAGCATTTTGTCATTGTCACAGACAACAACAACAACAATGACAACAACAGCGACAAATATTTGTACAGCTTGTGTGCCGCTTTTTGTAAAGCCCTTCGTCAAAAACAAATTTCTATTTATTTGAGATGGAAAATTTGATCTTTGGCTGCTGCGCAATTCGTTTAGAATTCGCTTTACGACTGTGCTTGATTTCCAATTGTTTAACTGCCATTCATATCAGTTGAGCGCTCCACTCATCCCACCCCCCTGCAAGTTGATGTGAAACGCGGTCACGTCATATGCAAATGAATATCCACAACTGAATCTCCCAACTATGCAGCCCAAGGCCACAGTGAATATATTTCTGCTTTATAACTGCTGCAGCTATGCAAATGACATATATATACTAATATCTAGTATATACTAAGTTTGCTTAAGTGGCTCATCTTGTCTTAACTGCTGGTGCTTATCAGAAATTACTTGCAGCCTTAGCTAGTCTTTGTTGTTGATCTTGTAAAGCATTTTAACTATATGTCTTTTTCGAGGCTTCCTTTGTTTCCAAGTACGAGCTGCTCAGGGCAGTCTCATGGCTTTGTGTTAAAGCTCATCAAAGCTGCTCAAGTCAAGTTATTAGCCACAAAGAAGCATTAACTTAACTATATTATAAACTCATTTTACTTAGTTTTAGAGTTAAGAAGGAATCTGTATAAATTTATTTAAATTTAACTGCATTTTTCCTATAGTTCCTTTACCTTCAGTTCCACTCAGTTTCATGAGTTTGAGATCTGCAATTAATTATTTAATTACCAGGGTATTCAATTAATAATTTAATCATATTATCATCAATATACATATATTTCGAACAAAAGCTAATATGAGATGGCAAACAAAACTTTATTGAAATATTTGCAACTTTGTCAAATAATTTTAATTTAATTTTATATTGACCATCAAAATGAAGGGTAAATAATCGGGCATCAAGTCATGCATATTTTCCATAGTTTAATTTAAATAATTTAGTTAAGCTGATTCTTCGTCGTTTAGCGTTGATTATGGCTCCCAAATCTTTCTTGCTGCCCTCGCATACGTGGGCCTGATTAGTTCAGCTCTTGATTCTGCTACCTATTTTATATCAGTTGATGACGTCTCTGATTTAAGTCTGTTGTTATTTCTAAGAAATTTATTTGGAGGGAATACTTCATTGCTTGTTTAAATATCTCTAAATACCTTTTAAAACATTTTATATAAAAGGCCTCAGTTCTTTCGAAAATTATTCGCATTCATAATTGTTATTGTAAATCTCATGAATTCTTGCTGAATTTTACGATATATTATTTTAGTATTTTTAAAGAGTTTAAAGGCATATTATTTTTCAGAATTTATATATATAATGCATATATAAAATTTTAAACTACGTTATTTAAAATAATATATATACTGTATATTTACTTGTACAACTTTAAGGCTAAACTCTTACAGCTTCAAGACGTCTCTCTTAGCCAGACAAAAACTATTGCTAAACTCCATAAAAACCCCATTCAAAAAAAGCTATTAAAACTTGATCAGATAAGTAAATAATAATTATAATTTCTTCATTGTAAACTTTTTTAATTGACAGCCATTGCATTGTTGACTGAATGATATAGGGGCTGCATTATCTCAAGATGCCAATCATGAGCTGACAACAGCGGCAAGCACTTGGGCGCTCGGTTCATCCCATTCGGGCGGGTCGTCAGCCATCCACCCACTTAGGCCACACGCCCAGTTGGCACCACTTTCAATTCAATTGGTGGCTCATTTAGCTATCAGTGGAAACTAACGAGCATTAACTTCAATTGCAGCTCATTTTCGATACAATGCGAAATGTTAATTCAATTGAAAACGAAGACTAAACTATGAGTATATACCTCTCTCTCTCTCTCTCTCTCTCACTCTATATATACATATATTTGTATATACTTTGTTATTCATCTCAACTTTCTCAGTTTGCTGAGGGGTTATCTGCGTTTTGTGGGGTCTATCTGCTTAGCGAGGCGTGCGCTGAACAGCGTTAACGTTGTTTATTTGCTTACCAATTGGCATGCACAGACGTTAGACTACAGATGAAGATAGCTATAACAGATACAGCGACAGGCTACAGCTACAGACAGTTATAGATACAGCTACAGTTACAGATAAGCGCTGCGGCTCGTTTCATAACAGCAGCGACAATAATTTATATATTTTTTTTGCGGTTAGCTCGTCTTACACTTGCCCTACGAGCAGCCGCCCGGCACTGCCCTAACTACTTATTTCGTGTTTTTAGCATCGCGCGTAGCAATAACAATAAACGAAACACAACAACCTTTTGGCCAGCCAGACCAGGCGTTCAATTTCCGATATTTACATACATATATACTCATCGATACGGTATCCGATTCTTCTCGTTTCATATAGACGTCAATATACACTTCAAGACCCCACTCAGGAATGAGTACAAGCCAAACATATCGGATGAGGAATTAGCCATACGACAAGCGGAGCATATGCAAAAGCTATACCAGGAGGAGCGACGACGCAAATATCTACAGGAGCTGCAGGACATGAATTCGCGACGACACACCGACAATTTCACACCCTCACAAAAGTCACCGATTGCCCTCAATCGCTACGATGACTTTCCCACAGACGTGACGCTTAAGTCGCTCGTGGGACCCAAGACGGTGGCACGCGCTCTCTACAATTTCCAGGGGCAGAGCTCCAAGTAAGCCCCACTCAACTCGCACAAACCTTGCACTTCCACTCAACTTGAACTCGGTTTTATTTTAGGGAGCTCTCGTTCCGCAAGGGCGACACCATCTACATACGACGACAGGTCGATCCCAATTGGTACGAGGGCGAGTATAACGCCATGATTGGATTGCTGCCTGCTAGCTATGTGGAGGTAGAGTCTAAACTCTGTAAACTATTCCCTATATCCACTAATATCTATCTCTCCCCCTCTCCCTCTCCCTCTCTCGCAGATTATCAGTCGTGATGGCGCTCGCACACCCTCGAAGCGCCCCTCCGAGGGCCAGGCTCGTGCCAAATACAACTTCCAAGCGCAGTCCGGCGTTGAGCTCTCTCTGAACAAAGGCGAGCTGGTCACACTCACACGTCGCGTCGATGGCAATTGGTTTGAGGGCAAAATAGCCAACCGCAAGGGCATTTTCCCTGTCTCCTATGTGGAGGTAAATAGCAGATTATCGATATTCTACTGTACACTCTTTTATTCTACTTTCCTGCTCTCCTCTACTCTTTTGTACCCCACCCAGTTCTATTCTACCCAACTCTCTTTTTCCCGAATCTCTAGCCAATATACTCTAACCTAGTCTACTCCACTTGGCTTACTTGCTAGTCTATTCTCTCTACTCTACTCTACATTAAGATAGTCGTATCTACCGCAGTCTCGTCTTATAGAAGTGCCCACTTATTGAGCATACTCATATGAGTATATTCATATGATTCATGCCTACTTCAGTTACACATATTTTTTCCTAAGCATTGTGTGTGAATCATCAGCTCATTGTTTGCAATTACAAAATTATTTACTTTAGAGTACTTTGAATATGCAAGAGATCTAGACCTTCAATAATTTATATATGCAGATTAGTTTTAGCCATATATAAAGGCATCATTTTGAATATTTATATATCTATATTATAAAAGTCTAGGTAATGTCTAGTCCAATCCCCATATCAACTGCAACTATCTAGTCTATAACTTTTAGCATTTCTTCAACATTTACGCACTTTTAATGAATCAATTAATCAAACCTTATCAACTCTTCTTCTTTCTTTGCTATCTGTGTGTGTGTGTGTGTGTCTCGCAGGTCTTAACCGATATTGGTGCAGAAGATATTGCGGCTAGAACGACAACAGTTATCAACACTCAGAGCACCACAAATTTGCGTCCAAATCTGGACGTGTTGCGCACAAATATCAATAACGAGTTCAATACGCTAACCCAGAACGGTGCACATCCGCCCAATGGCATACTGAAGGAGACCCGCACGCTGCACAAGACAGATGCCCTCCATGTGGACACCAGCTCCGAGCCACTCACGTAAGTATTTGGAATCAGACTCCAAAGTAAACCTAATTAACTTTCTGTTCTGCTCGTATCTCAACAGCTATCGCGCTTTGTACAAATATCGGCCACAGAACTCCGACGAACTGGAGATCTTCGAGGGCGATCTGGTGCATGTTCTGGAGAAATGCGACGATGGCTGGTTTGTGGGCACCTCGCAGAGAACGGGCTGCTTTGGCACATTCCCCGGCAACTATGTGGAACGTGTATGAGCCCAAAAACAAAGAATAGAAAAGAAAAGAAGATAATAATAATACAAATACTTTAAAAAGTGAATCTAAATGGAGGAGCGTTAGGAACCGTTACGATATTTGTCTTTTGTCTTTGGCAGCCAAGCAAAACCCAATCCAAAGAGTTTATAAAATTGTTAAGATTAGAATTAAACTCTAAGCTTAATTGTAGGCCAAGGCAAAAGCAATTATTAATTATTTATATAAATTATAAAAAAAAAAACATTATAATTTCAATTGTTGTTAAAAAAAAAAAGCAAATATCAGCTGCTTAACTTTGCCGATGTTTTTTCTCTTTTAATTTTAATAATGTACAACTATTTATTTATTTTTAAACAAATGTTGAAATTATGTTTATTTATATGGAAAACAAAAAAATATATTAACCAGAAGTTTGAACCACACACACAGCCCACACACACACATACACACCAAGCAAAACCTAAAAAAAAAACAAGTTCAAGCTAAGATATATTATTTTTTATAATAAACCCTATTTTTCGTTTAACTACTAATTTTAACTAGTCACAGCTAATTTCCAAAAACAAAGCAAAAACAAGAAAAAAAATCCTCACAAAAACTAAAAAAAAAAAAAAAAAAAAAAATTGATTAAAAAAAATACTTGGCCTCAAAAAAAAAAAAAAAAAAAAAAAAAAAAAAAAACCCCCCAAAAAAAAAAAAAAAAAAAAAAAAAAAAAAAATTGAAAATCAACAGAGAAAAAGTGCCTTAAATATAAAATATTTAACAAAATATATAAAAATGAATGAATATAATAACAGTAAAACCCAAGTGCCCTTCTGTTGTGTCGACAATGCTAATGAATTAATATGCGACTATTTATACATTTACATATTATTATTATTGAAGAACTAAATTCGTAATTTGTAATTCTACGAGCGTTTATCACACAGACACCTGTTGCAAGCGAATGCGCATTAAGTGAATCAAATAAACATTAAAAAAACAAAACAAAAAATTATAATAAACAAACACCAAAAACAAAATAAAACTTTGTTTCATTTCAACTAAATATAAAATATAATTTAAGTTACAATAATATTTTTTATATATGTTCAAGAAATCCTTTTCAATTATGGCATTCGCAAAAAAATACAGAAATATGTAAATAGTTTAGTTTTATTTTTATTTTTCTCCACAATTCACTTTGAACATAAACAGATAAGACTTATTTTATTTACAATATAAATTAACATTTTATTTTGTCATGGCATATGTTAATTATTTTTTATTTATACTTTAAGCTGTGTATAAATTATGCTGCATAGACTTGCCTAGTTCTAAATAGCTGTACTATAGCTATCTAAAGGTGAACCTCTACTTAAGCCTAAGACCCTTCATTATATATGCGCCAGTTATCACGGTAGCTAAACAAAATTCCTAGCTCGTATACAGTTATCAAGAAAACATTTCAAAAGACCTCTCTCTCTCTCATAACACCCCTCTCTATCCCTCTCTCTCTCTAAGATGCTGCCACGCCTTCATCACGTCTGTGCCAATTTGCGTTTCCTCTCCTGCTTGAGCTCTCGTTTCACCGCGCGCTGCTCCAGCTCCTCGGTGTACTCGGCGTACATGGCCAGCAGGGCTGGATAGAGCTTGTGGTAGTGCTGCAGATCCTCCACGGTCACCTGCATATTGTCAAAGGCAATGGCCACGTGCTGCATGTCCTCGGTGCTGGGCAGGCGCGGGCATTTGGCATAGCGCTGCGAGAAGTGCGTGAGGATGGTGTGCTTGGCCTGCATGTCGCGGCCCTGCTGTATGGCCTGCGAGATGGTGCTGTGCGTCTTGATGCGCGCCTCCTCCTCCAGGTCGTCCTCCATGGTGGCCTCGTGTATCAGCACCGTTGAGTTGCGACCCAGCTCGACCAGATCTGCACAAGGCATCGTGTCGCCGCTGTAGGTCAGCTTGATCGGCTCGCCTTCGTGCTGCGCCTGCAGCGTGAGGCTGATGCCGAAGGCATGCGGACAATGCCTCACCAAGCAGGTGGCTATCGAGGCGATGCCCAGCTGCTCGACACGCTCGCCCGCCAGCGGCTGCTCCAGCAGCTCGCCGTTGCCCATCAGCGTGTAGGCATCGGCAATCGGTTCGATTTGACGATTATAAAAGTTCAGCCAAGGCTCGATCTGACGTGGAGCCAGCAGCAGCAGTGGGGACGTCGGCTCCAGACGCTGTCGCTCGCGCAGCAGCGCAATCAGTCCGATGTGATGGTCGGCATGCAAGTGCGAGACATAGACAGCCTGCAGCTGCAGCATCACCTCACGGGCACGCTCTCGCCCAAAGAGCCGCACGATCTGGCCGTGTGTGCCTTCGCCGCAGTCGAACAGCATGAATGCCTGCGCCGCGGTCTGGATGAGAATTGAGCTGACGTTGCGCGTCTTATTCGGTATGCAGGAGCCGGTGCCGAGGAATATGATACGCGGATAGCCCTTGCTCTCAATCTTCAATGTCTCCGCCGTCTCGCTCTGCAGCTGGGCGAGCAGCTCGCTGAAGCCAGGCACTGCATGCGTCTCCTTGATATATTCCTCGGGCGTCAGCCTCGATTCCAGCGTGCGATCCAATCCTGTAGCGTAAAGATGAGCAAGTTTACGTAAATATCAGTTTCTGTTTATTATGTTTCCTTTGCAGTTGAAGCAAGAGGGGAAAGAGATGGTGCAAGTCCATTAGATGAGATGAAAGGGTTGAAGGTGGGTTGATTGTTGATGCTCGAAACTTATGACGGATGACATTGCATGATGTTCACAGCACTTAAATATTTGATAATTTCCTTAATTCTTATATATGTATATCTACATATTTACTTATTTTTTACTACTACTAAAAAAATAAATACTTTCAAATATTGAAATTTATATATCTAATATAAAATACATAAAAGTGAACATGCCGAATAAAATAATAACAAATATTCCTTCACTCACCCTTCTTAGGTCTCAAATGGAAGCTGCTCATGGAAACGAAGGCCTGCTGCTGTCTCACTTGCTGCTGCTTCACCTCCTTTGCATTCACTAATTCACTCTCACTCAATTTATTCTCTTGCTGCTCCTCAACGTCATTGTCCAGCTTCGTTTTCTTTAGGCTGTGACTCAACGTGTTGCTGGGGCAGCTCAGCTGCAGCTCCGCCGCCTCGGCGAGCAGCGGAAAGAAGCGCGGAGCCAGCTGATGCAGCTGGTATTGGATGCGATGAGCCGCCGCATAGCCGGAGAAATTATTTAAATGCGAGTTGAGATAAATGTGCTGTGTGCCGGCAGAGAAGTTAGTCTGCATAAAGTCGAGATACTCTGCATGAGCTGTGAGCTCGGGTGGACTAAAGTGCACCACGAGCGCCACCTCAGTTAACTCGGAGTTGGCGAGCTGTTTGTACTGCTCCGACTGCGCCTTTAGGGACTCCAGGTAATCCACGCTGGGCACATCTATGAAGACAAAGGAGAGCGCCGTCTCGGCGGGCTCTGTGACATCCGCAGAGTGCACTACTGTGCCACAGGGCAGCGTCACATCTTGTCCGTTTTTCAGCTGCCCCAGCAACGGGCCTGGCGGCACGCCCGCCTCGACGCACTTCACTAGGTTGAGCGCACCTGGGCGTGGCTTCAGTTTGCAGATATAGCTGAGAACGGGCTGCAGAGGCTGCTCCTCGCTGCGCAGCACAACTGGCTGCACGGTCAATATCGAGTCCTCGAAAGGAACGCCCAGTGTGCTGTCTATTGTCTGCATCTGGAGATTCTTGAGCACCACAAAGCGGCGCATGCTCTGCAGCATGGTGTCCAGGTGCGGTGGTCCGTGCAGGCCCACATTGCGCACGCCAGCATCCTGAATGGTCAAGGCCAGGCCCGGCAGTCCGCCCACTGCGGTCCACGTGTTCCGTGTCACAAATATTTGCTCTAGGCGAGATAGGCGCGTCTTATGCTCGTGTGCCAGACGCTGTGTGCCCTCGCCGCAGTTGAACAGGTAGCGGGACTGATCGGTAAACAAGTAAACAGCGCTGGGTGCTCCGTTGGCGCCTGCGCCGAGCACCTGTAAATTCACAGAGCCCGGCACAACAGAACTCAGCTTTTTACGTAGCACATTTGGTTGGCGTTCGTATTTGGCGGGTGGCGTTTGTTCCGCGGCATCTGTAGACACTATGGTGCTCATTCTGATGCAGTGGTTAGTCAGACTTCGCAGCGGTCCATGCGGCACGATTCGTTGCAATTTCAACATTGGCAACCACATTTCACTTTCAGCGTGCGCGAAACAGCTGATTGCCGCGCTAGAGATGGCAAAACTACTAAATTCTGCAAGCTAGGCAGTCAAAAGCTGAATGATATAGCACGTTACCATATAATGTTAATTGTTCATCAGCTAACAGAGAGTTTACAGTGTAATGCCGTCGATTTATAGCTGCAGTAGACCGTGCTAACAGTGCACAACTGTTTAGAAAGCAGAACGGCAACAGAATTACAATCGATTAACGATAATCAAAACAAATATCAAAGCGCGCACGTGGAATACACCGCGTCTTCTCATTCGGCTGCAATTTCTTTAATAATTCTCCTAAACTATGGTATTCTTCACCTGCAACATTTGCGGCGAGTCCGTTAAAAAGCCCGCCGTCGAAAAACACTACCAGACTAAATGCCGGGGCAAGACAAAAAACGTCTCGTGCATGGACTGCCTCAAAGATTTCTACGAGGAGGAATATGTAGCGCACATTAAATGCATTTCAGAGGCTCAAAAGTATTCCAACCAAAACTTCGTGCCCAAGGAGCCAAGGAACAAGAACGCACAGAAACAGGAGAGCTGGATGGATATCATACGTGCAATATTGGATAGCAGCGAGTACCAGCTGACGCCGACGTTGCGCAGCGCCTTCCAGCGTCTGCAGAGCGTGGACAATGTGCCGCGCAAGAAGGCGAAGTTCGAGAACTTTGTGGGCAACTGCATGCGTATGCCACGCCAGCAAGCAACCCAGGTGTGGGACATACTCGAGAAGGAGCTGAACAAAATGAAGGAGGCCAAACAGGCCGAGCTTCAAGCAGCCAAAGCGGCCAAGGAGGCAGAACTGAAGCAAAAGGAGCAAGAGCAAGAGGCGCCGCCCAAAAAGAAATCCAAACTAGAGTCATCAGAACCCGCAGCAGCTGCAGCTGAAGCTACCGAAGAAACCAACGAATTCGATTGGGCTGCACAGCTGCTGAAGCTAGTGTCCAAGCAGCCCGATGGCATCTTCCAGGAGAAGCTGAAGAAAAAGCTGCTAAAGAAATACACAAAGCATCTGGCGGTCGAGCAGCTCAGTGAGAAGCAAACAAAGAAGTTTGAGAAACGCTTTGACAAGCAGCTCAAAAAGTCGGATGCACTGCAACTGGAAGGCGATTTAGTTAAGAGTATCCAGCAGGACGTCTCATGATCTAGCGTAATTTAGACCGTATCTTAACGTAATGTTAGCGAACAATTAAATGTGTAAGCAACAATTTAACTCAACTGAATTGTCTCTACTTTCAAGATATTGCTCTCAATGAGCTGAACTTGCTTTGGTATATCTGCATCAAGGATGATCTGTACTGCATTATTCCTGCTGTCTGAAGCCTTGGCATATAAATATGTGGTTGCTCTTCATGATTATCATTTATTGCTGCTCCATCTCCTTCTCTCTACACAAATCTATTTCTTTGGCCGTTGCTCGCACTTTTGCAAATATTGTCGCACGACTCGGCATTGCGCTGTCTTGTGAAAACGCTCCGCTGGACACTTTAATATCATCTCCCTGACCATGCACTCCATCACCAGACCCGGAAACGGATGACAGCCATATGTGGTCAGACGTTTGGCCAACAATTGCATGTCCTTGTGCTCGAGCTGTCCTAGAGCTGAAGAGCAGTTCTCATATATATGGATTTGTTACTAAATGAGTCTTGCATACCATGCTTGTCGCACTTGACGTATGCCTCGTAGAGCAGCGCTTCATCCGCCGCATTGGCCAGGTCGTTCTCCAGGTGTTCGCGCACGTGATTTAAATTTAGACTCTGACGATTGGCTGCCAGAAAGTCGGTGCTATTGTATGTGCATTCAGCCGTGCACTGGAAATGGATATATATTAGATCTTTTTATATGAAGTAGGGCTGAATGATGACTAAGTTGAGCTGGCAGAGTAGCTGTAGAGTTGGACTTTTACGTAGATTATTTCTAGAGACTATTACTTGAGTTGAGTTTAATTCAACTACCTGCACCTCTAGCCCCCTCCCAACCCTTTTTAATACTCACATACAAATAGAGCAGCTCATCCTCATCGGTGGTATAGTGAATTTTGTCATGCCAATCCGTTTGACAGTCGCTGAACTGCGGCGATTCGTCATGCAGATCGCAGCAAAAGTCGTGCTAGAAAATAATGCATAACAAATAATGAATTAGATATAAATGAATATATAGTACACATATATAACATATTTTTATTATAAGAATCAAGTTTCACCATTGTATTAGTCGAGTGGTGTTCACAAAACTCGTCCAGCTGTGGCATCATGCGCACCACTTGAAACCACAGCACAACATTCCACAGTGGCCACCACACAGAGAGCATTTTGAATGCGATTCACCACTCGATGGGTCTCCTCCATCTCTTTTATAAGCAGAGGCCAGCTAATTGGCCGTAGCTGAAAACAATTTAAAATCTTTTAATCACATGCTTAATTTAAGTTTTTAATTATTTGCAATCTACATTAGAGTACAAAATACCAAAACTTCGGTATTGTGATAGAGCATGCCGTCATATTGGGTATACAGTTAATATGTCATTTAATAATTTTATAATATAGTTATATGAAATTGGATATTGTTTATTTGATGTATCATCTCTAAGATGTAGTTTTAGTTATTCTACTCCTTCTCTTGTTTGTCTATCTAATCCTACTCCTAATCCCCTTGTTCTTTTCCTTCTCTTTCTCTCCCTCTTACTAAACCTCCAACTCATACATACATCTCCTCTACCTCCTTCCTGCCCAGTCGGCTCTTCTACTGTCTGTAACTACGACTATCATCTCATTCCAATATCGCTGTTTTTTTTTTCTGTCTGTCAACAAAACTTCAATTTATTATAAATGCCAATAATAAATACATTAAAGTATTTTAGAGTTCTTTCTCTAATGTTATATTCGATTATATCAAAAGTAGCTGTTGGATCTACGCCGACGTCTCGCTCTGATTCCTGGAATTCGGCTGCAACTCCCTGAAGATAAATGATTTCGGGAGTAGGCAGCCATCCATCACCGATCAAGCGGCACCTACCACACACACACACACAAATATATTTAAATATATGTATATATTTATGCATGTATTCCCATGACAGACGCGCCCTGCTGCCAAATATAGTTAAGGCAAAGAAAATTCACTTTCGAGTTGGAGCTGGAATTCCATGTTGGACGACATGATGGACTGACTGATGGCTGCAGTGCGTGCATGCGGAAGCAACTGCCGTGCCCCTGTCCTCTTGCAACCAGCTGCAACTAATTAACCGAGAAATACATCATAAATAGCCCAAGTAGATGATCATTATACATAAAGCCGAAAACCAAAGACGAGGCCAGAGTCACAGACGCTCTGTCGCTCTGCCTCAGAACTTTGCATTTGTTTATTTTTACAGAGCCGCAGTGTTCGTCTGTATGTGTGCGTGTGTGGCTAAGGGAGTACGTCTGCGGCGCTTCACGGTGGCATCAAGAGAGAAGGAGAGAGAGAGAGAGGGAGAGAGAGAGAGAGAGGGAGAGGCAGTTCAGAGTCCAATCAAGCGGCACGTGCCCGCCCTCGCCTGAAGTTCAGTTCAACGGAATTGGAACGCGTGCCTCGCCCCATCTAAATGTTGATCTCAATTTTTGGGGTCACCCTACAAACGCCCCACCTTGTGGTTACCAGGCAAACAACCCAAACACACCCACCGGATTGAGCAATTCTAATCTCAGGGAGAGTAGAAGCTCTATTAACTATATATGTATGTGTATGCAGGGATTCTTTTGATGATGGCTCAGGAAGTATTTCTAAGCTCATTAAATGGGTTGGGTTTGCCAGCATTAGATCATCAATTGATATTGGAGTGGGTACAAGTATTAGTATACTCGATTCTACAATAGATGCATATATTTATAATTAAGCTTAAATATAGCGTATTAATAAATATTTATTAAACATATTTATAAACGCGAGCACAAATGTAAAAAAAAAATTGACAAAAATGTTATAAATAAAAATGAATAAAATTTATATATTTCTTTCATTTCCAAGAACTCGCCAATTCAACACACGTCCAAAAATCCTTTTTGTAAAAATTTTCCACTTAGTTTATATTTAAAATTTTTCTTATTAATTTGTCCAACTCTTCGGCTGTAAAATATTTGCAAAAAACAAGAAACGTCCGAACTTAATGCGTGTGGAACATAAATGTCAACGGCAAAAGCGAAATGTCATAAATAAGTAGGCGAAATCATCATCTATATAAAATCTAGATCTTTTTAGATCAGTGCCCACTCTTGCACGCTCTCTTCGCTCTTTTCTGCTCGCGCTGCACGCTCTGTTAACTTTCGCTCGCTGTTAAGTGCATGCATTTGGATGCCATTTGAAATAAAAGCGAAATGCATTTGAGTGTGGATGATATGTTAGCAGCGAAGACGAAGCCTCCAGGCGCTGTTAAAAAGACTCAAATGTGAAAAAGCATACACACACATACACACAGCCATCCATTTTGTGTCTCTGTTAAGCGTGAAGACTCCAGACGCACACACCCACACGCCGCGTTCTGTTAAGTGTTAACGGTCAGAGGGACCGAACCAAAGAGAATTCCACAGAGCGGAGCTGCGATTCAGTGAAGATTTTGTTTTCATCGCGTGCGGTTCACTTGGCTCCGCTAAAGAATCGAGTCGAATCGAAAGCTATAAAGGAGACAAGGTGCTCCAAGACACAATTCCATAGACCTATTCCTATATATATTTAAATATATATATATAATATATATACTATTGCTATAGACGATAGATACTCAGTTGTCTGCCGGTTCGTTATTTTTAAATTCGATATTTTTGGAAGCAAACACTACGCGCGCGTCTCCGTGTGTGTGTGAGTGTGTGTGTGTGCCTGTTTGTGTAAAAATGCTGATCGCGAAATTGTGAAACACGCACAGATAAAGAAATATTATTTTGAGAATTTCTTTAAAAAAAAAATCATAAAAAATCAGATTAAAACTTTGCCATGAAAACTTTTAACCAAAAACTGTGGCGGCTGCTGCTGCCGCTGCTGCTGCTTGGCCTGAGCCAGGTGCGAGGTCAGTACGAGAATTACCTGGACAGCCTGCGGGCCCAGGAGCTATACGAATACGTCGAGGGCAGTGGAAGCATACAATACTTGGCCAAGGGCAACAGCGAACAGGCGATGCTCCAATTGGAGCAACCCATTAGCTTCTATAGCGACAAATATGAACAGATCTACGTGAGTACAACGAGTTTATATACTAAGTATACCTATATAAGTATGAATATTATCTGCTAATAAATTAGCTCTAGAAATTGTGCTGAATGAATTTATTTTTGTTGCATTCAACAGCAGCTGATAAGAGCGCAGCGATAAGCTTAAGCCGATTGTCTATCAATAGGCATTATGCAAATAGTTTGCTTACTTTAATACGTGTATTTATAGCTAAGTGGACAACAGAAATCGGCATGAATTTTGGGCAGCATATCTGGCTCTGGCTCATTTCGACATCACCGAGACTGTGTAAAAGTAACTCGCAGATACATTTGTATCTGATAGATACATTTCCACTGCGACAGCGATTCGCACGCACGCACTCAACTCGAATACGAAATAATACAACACTTGAGGGTGGTCCATGGCAATCTTGTTCCTCACTCTTCTCTTAGTTTCTATAGGCATAGACACACTCTACAATAAATAGCGAACAAGTCAACCCATTGATGTTCCCGTTGTAGCTACAACACACATCTAGCCCGCCTTGGCTCAGATCCAAACTTTTAGCCGCCTTTTTTTTACGAAATACTCTGAAAGGCGGGTATTTGAAAATGCTCAGCGAATGTGCAACACTATTCAATGAAATGCTATATGAAAATCTGTTTTATAGTTTTGGTTCATTTTGTTAGATAATGAAAACTATCAGCTAGGCGAATATTATATATAAAAAAGTATCAAAACTTAGATTGACTTTATAAATAACAAAATTATTATAGGGACAATCTTACAATCTTTTACTTTCCTGCTCTCAATGTGAGCCTTTCTTTCTTGTCTCCCTCTTTCTCTGTCTCGCTCTCTTTACCTGTAGCCTGTTTTTTGGCAACTCTCTTTTTATAATCAATATTTGATGTCTTCAAACTATTTTTCTTATTTAATATTGTAATAGATGCACATGGCAACCCCTCCATCAATAAGCACTTATAGTATTTATTACAAGCAATTCTGTTTGCTGTACTTTCCCTTAATACTTAAAAATAATCTGATTAAAAGCAATCATTATTCTAATCAGCAATCAGAGACGGAACCTTAAGTAAGCATATACATTTTAAAATATATTTTAGCTAAGTAAGCGTATTAAAATTTTCATTACCTCTATCTCGTCCACTATTCCACATTCTACCTCTGTTTTCTTGTTGAATGTCTAAAAATTATGATGTGCTCTTAGCGGCGCGTCGAGGCGAAAGTGTCGCCTATTTTTGTTAGTTAATTAACTGAATTTATGTGTCTGACGTCGAAAAATAGCACGCGGCACAGAATTGTGTGTTGTGTGTGTGTGTGTGGCATTAACATTATGGCCATAGAAATGCATAAATATTCGAGAATTCCTTTGACCAGAAATAACCAAAAGCTTCTTCTCCTCCAGCCAATTCACATTATTCAATTTAATTGTTATTAAACCCCTTCGGCGCTGCTAAAAATAGAAGATCAAACGGAAAAGCTGGCTCGATTTATTTTGGAATTTATAAAAATTCAGTTGAATGCAAAGCTACATGAGTTTTTATAGAAAATATATAGAGCTTTTGTGTAGAGTTGGGAATATAATAAAAGAAAGTATAAGAAATATATATTACCTTTTTTTTTTTGCTTTACAATATTTGCTCTGCTGTTAGAACAAAGAAAAATCAGATAATATTTAAGTACCACAAGGCTGTCTGCTAAATATATTAAAAACTAAGGTTAAATGAAAACTTGATAATAAATTTTAACAATATTTTTTTAGGCTGTAAATAAAATATTCAAAAAATTCCTTCATAGCCAAAACACAAATTTCTTAAAGTAAATAAAATAAATCATTAACCAATAAATCAAATCATTTACAAAAAACCTTGGTAAATTCTACTGCAGTCTTTCGGGTCTCAAGTGGCTTTGGCAAATATTTCCACACACACATTTCTGTAGCCCGCTGAGATGGCGAGGATGAAGTGCGGCCAGTCTTGGTGCTAATTTGTTAGAGAATTGCTTTGTGCCACAAAATACAATCGCTATCATTCTTTCCACTTTTTGGGCACACACATGTGCTCCAGTTCCGAAAATAACAAAAGATCGACAAGAAAAGAACAATATATATATATGTATGTGTGTACGTCTATATATTTGTTTATTTAGGCAAAATGGATGCAAGAAAAATACGCAAAGTTGTGCAATTGAAGTTGAAAAGTGTAAAAATTGTGGAGCAATTGAATTTGGCATTCCAATTGGAGTGCGTGGCGATGTGTGAACAGGAGCAGGTCGCGCAGCTGGATAGTGTTGGCCGCTGGCTGCGTCTATTTATCTAGCACTAATTTAGAAAACTCATTAGAGAAAGTGAAGGCGGCTCTCTCTCTTCTCTAATGATCATTGAGGCGCGCTTGTTAATGATTTGTTTTTGTTTGGTTTCCGGCAGGCGCAGTGGCCGTTAAATGTTAAGTGCCCTGTTGGCACTTCACAAAGCAGCTAATTGATGGACCATATGCACTTATATACACCATCCATGCCCTCACACCCACCCCTTACCCACACCTAAGAGGCACTTCAACTAAGCGCATCCCATTCACATCTCCATTGCAGATCAACACGAATGGCATTTTGACATTCAACGTGGAGTTTACGGAGTACTTGAATCAGCCCTTCCCACTCGAGTATCCCTCGGTGGCGGCCTTCTACTCGAACGTCGACACGAGCAACAGCAACGACGACAGCTCCATTTCGCTCTTCGAGTCAAAGGATCCTGAGCAATTGAATCGCGCTCAGCTGCTGGTGCGCTACGCCTACAGCGATTGGACGGAGTTCGAGGCACGCCAACTGATTGTCGGCACGTGGCGCAATGTGGGCTACTTCAACTCGAAGACGGACAGACTGAACACCTTTCAGGTGGCCCTGATTGTCGGCGACTCGCAGACCTTTGTGCAGTTCATCTATCCGCAGGGCGGCCTCAACTGGCTGCAGGGCGAGGCCGGAGAGTACGGCTTGCCCGACATTCGCGCCCAGGCGGGCTTCGTGGCCGAGGATGGACGCTACTACAATCTGAATGGTTCCGGATCGGAGAATGTAAGTGAATATGGAATAATAATACCTTAGTCGGGCACATGTATAGGAAACATTTGTGGCTCTACTCTTGCTTAGCAGCAAATCGTTTTCGTCTTTACAACGCCTCCTTCTATAATTTAATACCTTACTATTCAATCCTCCTTTCCCATTTCAAAGTAAAACTAATCAAGAGAGAAAACTAATCTCACGTTCTGCCACCACTCCACAGGCCCGTTTCCTCAGCGACAGCACCAACTTGGGCGTGGCTGGCGTCTGGCTGTACCAGGTGGCGCCCTTGACGGGCAACGAGAACGTGGTGGCGCCCAACAACGTGGAGACGCGCACCGAGTCGCCGGCCCTCGCCCAGAGCTGCAACGGCAATGGGCATCAGTGCGACAGCCATGCCCAGTGCTACGACAAGTCCGAGGGCTACTGCTGCGTGTGCGAGCCGGGCTACTATGGCAATGGACGGTCGTGCCTGGCCAACGATCTGCCGATGCGCGTCACGGGCTCGCTCTCCGGCCAGCTGAATGGCCAGGCCGTCAGCGAGGAGGCCAAGCTGCAGTCGTATGTGGTGACCACGGATGCGCGCGTCTACACGACCATCAATCCGGTGAGTGGGGAGCAGGCGGCGCAGCTGCGGCTGGTGCTGCCGCTGCTGACCACCGTGGGCTGGCTGTTCGCCAAGTCGCTGAATGGCGCGGCTAATGGCTACCAGCTGACCGGAGGCAACTACCAGCACGTCTCGCGCATTCAGTACGAGACGGGCGAGACGCTGCTGGTGAATCAGACGTTCGAGGGCTTGAACTACTGGGACCAGCTGACGGTGAAGATCGAGCTGACGGGCTCTGTGCCACGCGTGCCAGCCGGCGCTGCACTGCATCTGCCCGACTACACGGACGAGTACAGGTTTGTGCGTCCCGGCGAGCTGCACTCGCTGCAATCGCATCAGCTGGAGCTGGCCGAGGAGCAGCGTGTGATTGGCTTCCAGGTGGATCAGCGCATACTCTACCAGAGCTGCCTGCGCGACGACGATGCCGATCCCACGGACAACAGCGTCCTGCAGAAGGTGTCCAAGATCACGCTCGACTACTTCGAGCGCGACCAGGCCCTGCGCACCAGCGCCCTGAGCAAGATCGGCGTCGATGCCGAGTCGAATGCCTGCACCGACGGCAGCGTCCAGTGCGGCGAGAATGCCATCTGTGTGCCCTACGAGGACACCTATCGGTGCGACTGCCAGCACGGCTACTCCGCCCAGGTGGACGAGCGCGGCGGCGAGAGCTGCATCGATGTGGATGAGTGCGCCCTGGGCACCCATGTCTGCGACGAGAACGCCCTCTGCTCCAACAACGAGGGCGGCTTCACCTGCGTCTGCTACGATGGCTACGAGGGCAACGGCTATCGCTGTCTGCGCAACAATACGGCCGAAAACATCGAGTACCCCACGCCCACGCCAGTCGACGGCCAGCAGGGCTATCCGACAGAGGAGGACCAGCAGCAGCAGCAGCAGCCACGCCCACAGCAGCCCGAACCAGAGCAGCCGGACGAGCATGTCGACTATCAACCCAATCAGAGCAATGGACAACATCTGGATGAGTGCTACGTAAGTGTGAGCAGGGGAAATTGCATAAAAGAAAAATTATGTGATGGCAGAGTTTCAAGAGACAAATAGCGGATAGTATCTAGCGGATAGTATCTTAAAAGAAAAGTATCTCAACAGATAAATAGCCAAAATAAAAGAATCTGAAAAGGAAAATATCTACAAGAAAGGTAAATAGAAAGAGAAGAGATTAACAAATATAAGAAAATTATCTAAACAAGTATTCTCGACTAAAACTTGAAAGTAAATGTTCCTTTAAAATTGATTAGTCTGGTAATTGTTTTATAGAAACTTTTGAAAATTCTTAAAATTATTTAAACTATGCCTAAATATGGTCAGTTTACAAATAGATTTAGTGGTTTAGTTTTTGGTGCATCCAATTTTCTGGCCGTGTCATTCACAAAGCATCGAATTCGTCTATCTCTAACAGAAGCCCAGCCAGAGGGGCGGGCCGCAAGTTTTTCAGGGATAACTGAAATCGTTCTTTGTTTCGTTCCGAGTTCGGTTCACAATATTCAAAATGGGAAATGATTTGTTGTTGTTGTTGTGGTTTGTATTTTTCAGAGCTGTTCGCCGGATGCGGACTGCTACGAGGGACGTTGCAGCTGCCGTGAAGGCTTCTCGGGCGACGGCTATAGCTGTGCGAACATCTGCGGCCATGACGAGGTCTTCGAGCATGGACGCTGTGTGCCCCTACTGATGGTGGATGAAGTGGAGCCGCGCTGCAATATTCTGGGCGACTGCACCTGCCCGGAGGGCTACGAGCTGACCGAGGAGCAGCGCAGCTGCCGCTTCACCGGCGGCTATGAGGTGGACAGCAGCGAGGATCTGCTGCCGTGCGACGTGGACTCCAACTGCCATGTGAATGCCCGCTGCGTCTGGTGGGAGCAGCAGCTGCGTCACATCTGCACCTGCAATGCCGGCTACAGCGGCGACGGCTACAACTGCGATCCCATCGAGGACTCCTGCGCGATTGTGAGTGAACCAAAGCGAGCTGCTCCCATTTGCTAATCCCTCCATTCCTTTCGATTCACGCAGAGACCGGGCATCTGCGATGCCCACGCCAACTGCGACTACAACGAGCAGCTGGGCAAGTCGGAGTGCGTCTGCCAGCGTGGCTACCAGGGCGACGGCCACAACTGCCAGCTGGCCCCAGAGTGCCAGGCGGCGGAGGAGTGCGGCGAGAACGCCTACTGCGATGGCGGCGTCTGTCAGTGCAACGCCGGCTACGAGCGGGACGTGAGCGATCGCTGTGTGCCCGCGGGACGCTGCGGCTCAGTCTATTGCGGATCGAATGCCATTTGCAAGTGGGATACGGCGCTGAGTGTTCAGTACTGCGACTGCATCGATGGCTACCAGGGCGACGCACTGACCGGCTGTGTGAGCATACCCATACCCTGCAATGTGCGCAACAACTGCGGCATACACGCCACCTGCGAGCCCACCGAGTGAGTTGGCCGAGTGATGATGCGAGGCAAGAGCTCTCGATTGATTTGAAATATTTCCACTGCTCTCCATTCAGGGATCCCGCCAACTATACGTGCCAGTGCAATGCCGGCTATCGCGGCGACGGCTACGTCTGCATCGAGGAGCAGAACTGCCTGAGCAATCCCACGATGTGCGACATGAACGCCAAGTGCCATTCGACGAACTCGGGTCTGGTCTGCGTCTGCAATCCAGGTGAGCTCCTACTCTTCCGTCTTCTTGCTGCGCTGCGGCACACGATCCTCGGGGCAGGGTGTGCACGAATTGATGAACACGAAGGTGAAGATGGCCAAGGCCAGCACCACGTTCAAGTAGCCATTGTTGCGATCCCAGGTCAGGGGATGCATAAAGAACTCCCGCATCGACTGCAGCGTGGTCGCCTTGCGCCGATATTGCTCCACCTTCTGCAGCTGACGGCGCTGCTGCTGGCGCAGCGACCACAGCGCCGTCTTGCCCCTCAGCAGCGTGGCAGCCGGCTGGCCCAGCCCGGTCAGATTTCTAAAGCGCGACACCTTCGCTAGCATACTTTGTACGGGCCGCATCTCGTTTATGTTTCGCGTGTGTTTTTCACCAAAAAATATTTACGACTACGAATTTAGTTAGGAATTGAAATCGGATGCGATATGTTTCGAGGGCTGTATTGAATGCGAGTGCAAGATCAATGCCAACTATTTACACTATATATTCAAGGGAATTCTGAGGCAGAGCAAACCTCCAAACTTTGGGAATTACTTCAATTATTTGCGGAAGGAGAATTTTTAAAAAATATTTTAATTACTATTTAATTAATAATTAATTTTAATTAGTTTTTTATAAGAGTTTTTACTGATCCTTACTTTTTAACTATTTTCCTATCAACATTTTATTATAAGAAATTCACGATATTACATTTTTTAGTTGGTAATAACTTTTAATTACTCTGAATTTGTTGATTAATTACTGTTAATTAGTTTAAGTAATTGATTCGAAAATAGATTACTTGTACATAATTACTTGCTCTCCCTTTTCCCCTTTCTTCACTCTATTATTTACGTCAAATTAATTCCGCACTTACCCATTTTAATCATTGATTTTCTCTGCAGGTTTCTATGGCAATGGCTCCGTTTGCTTGGAGCGCCAACAGCACGACTCCAACTTCCTGATTGTCAGCCAGGGCGTGGTGTTGGTGCGTGTGCCCCTGAATGGACGCAATGTACGACCCATCAAGGTGGCCTCGATGGCCATTGGCCTGGACAAGGACTGTGTGGAGGGACGCATTTACTGGGGCGACATATCGGCACGGAAGATCATCAGCTCCAAGTACGATGGCACCGATGAGCGCGTCTTCATCAGCACAGGTAAGTGGAATGAATCAATGGGTCTATAGGTCATTTCATTGTGAGCTGTGTGCCTTGCAGACATTGAGTCTCCGGAGGGCATTGCCATTGATGTCATCTCGCGTCGCCTGTACTGGACGGATTCGGAGAAGGACACCATTGAGGTGGCCAGCCTGGACGATCCCACGCTGCGCGCTGTCATCATCAACAAGGATCTGGTGAATCCACGTGGCATTGCTGTGGATCCCTACAGAGAGTGAGTCGAACTAACCAAGAAATGCATTAAGATCCAGAGAGATTCTCTAATCTCGCTTTCCGCTTTTAACAGGAAACTCTACTGGTCCGACTGGGATCGCTCGAACCCCAAGATAGAGTACTCAGACTTGGACGGCACTGGCCGGGAGCTGCTGCTGGGCGCCAACGATGTCAAGCTGCCCAATTCGCTGGTGGTCGTCGAGCACAGCGGTGAGTTGTGCTATGCGGATGCGGGCACCAGGAAGGTGGAGTGCATCAATGCACAGAGTCGTCAAACGCGCACCATATCCCAGGAGCTGTCCTATCCGTTCGGCCTGACCTTTACGCACGATCAATTCTACTGGACCGACTGGACAACGTAGGTGCTCGAAAGCTTTACCTAATATGGAAATTCTCTTAGTTTTGCTCTCTCTCTCTCTGTCTCTCTCCTACGTAGCAAGAAGCTGGAGAGCGTGGATAGCTCGGGCGTGCGCCAGAAGCCCATACAGACGTCCTTCTTTGGCAGCCACAAGCTGTACGGCATGACCGCCGTGGAGCAGAACTGTCCGCAGTACTCCAGCCAGTGCCAGATCAACAACGGCGGCTGCACCGATTCACGGATCTGTCTGGTCAACCGCAAGGCGCCCTCCGGCAAGAGCTGCAAGTGCACCAGCGCCTCTACCGGCTGCACCGTGGCCTCGCCCTACGACTACGTAGTGCCACGCAATTAAATTAGTTAAAATCACCAACAAAAGCAGAAAAGAAAAGCAAATTAACTTATGAAATGAAAAAAGGAAAATTATTTTTGTATACGCATAACAATGAAATCTATAAACTAAGAATGTTGAAGATCACGTACCAAAGCAAACCAAAACAATTAATTCATAATACAAATCAAACTAATGTGTGTGCCATCTTTGTAAAGCTACTCAATCTAATAAATAATATATAAATAAATAAACAGATGTATGTGTAATTATTTGTGTGGGCAGGGTTTAAATATATGAGTGTCTGAATTACATAATCTACCGAATAGTGAGATTAAAAATTTAAAAAAAGGGGAAAATTCAAATTGAATAATAGATTATTTTAATACTATATTAAATATTCATATAAATATATAACTACAATTGAAAATTTGATTTTTGTTGATATTGGAAAAGCAAAAATAAAAATAATAATAATACATTTTTGTTTTAAAAAATAATAAATAAATAAATAAAAAAAATAAATAAAGAAATAAAGAAATAAATAAGATATAAAGAAAAATTCAGATTCAAATAATACTTGAATAAAAATTATTTTAAGTATTTAAAAAATTAAATAATTGTATGTACACCCTAAATCATATTTAAAGCCAGCAAATCAATTAAATGCAATTTAAAATCCGTTAATATTTTAAATAAATAAACAAAATACTAAAATAAAATACATTACAAACAATTTATTTAGAATATTAAATGATATTTAAATACACTTATAATTCAATTGTTTTGCTTAAATATGCTTGTAAAAATAAAATAATATTTATACATTTAATTATAATTTGTAAAAAAATTTTCATCTAAAATACTATTTCAAATTCCAAGTCCCGCCCCATTTTGAACCATCAACAACTTCATTCAGTTTTCATCAACTATATATTTTGAATTTATTGTGAGTTTTTCTTGTCATGGTTTTGTTGTTGTTGTTGTTGTTGTCGCGTACCTTAAAGAGCACATTTAAATATTACAGCAAAGTTGTATGATCTAAACTTGTAATATGCTGCGCAGAGCATTCAATTATCAATTAAAGATAGTAAGTACATTTGGTTTTTCTTTAGTTGTTTCTTGTTGTTGTTGTTGTTGTTGCTTGTGGTTCTTTGATAACTAATTGTAGGCATTGCCATCTTTTTGCTTTTTGTACATTGAGACATTTACTAATTGCTAATTTAGTGACTGCTAATAGAATACCTAGTACATACTAAATATATATATTTATATATAGTTGCTAAATGTTTTCTTTCTTTTTTTTTTGTTTTTTTTTTTCTTTGTTGTTATTGGATGTGCTAGGCTTATCTAAGCGCGCATAGGTCGCGTAGGTTCTTGAGACACTGGAATGCATGGTTCAGCATCGTTTCAAACTGGAACCGAGTAAAATTCACTTAGTATAAAATTGTTTTGTGCTCTATGTATACATCTTAAGGTTCATGAATATATATTGAAGTGTATATATATATATATATATATATATGTATATGTATGTGTGTGTGTGTGGAGTGTAGGTACATTTGTATGCTTTAGCTAAAGGCTAATTAATAAATTTTCCCTGTTGCTGGGGACGTGTCTGGGTTTCGTTCTTTGGAGCTGCCAATCGACAGTTCAGATATATATATCATATATATGTGGTTGATGCTTGGGGTATGTGTATAGCTCATTGAATTTGGTACAGTTTCGTTTACAAGCTATAGGCTTAGGCTTTGAGCACGGCCCTCAAAACCGAACTAAGTGCTTAAGGACTATCGACTATCGACTATATATGTATATATATGTTCATAAACTTTATTATTAACTAATTTCTGTTGTTTTGCGTTGTAGTTCTAATAGTTTGTATGCAGTTCCTTGAATGCTACCATCTTAAGAGCTAATATTTACAGCGACTACATAGCATTGTTTCTCTATATTTTCATTTTTGTTTGTTTTTCTTTGTAAAGCATTAGAGTATACCAAAGCCTGTTTCTTTTGAATGTTTTATGTTCTGAAAACCATCATTAAAAAGTATTTTTTTCTTTCTTCTAAATTTATTTTTTTATGAATGGAAAGAATATTTCGGTACAAAACATCGATAGCACCTTTCTTATAGTAAAATATAGTTTATTTACTTTAGCGAAATAGCGAATTCAATTCAAAACTCTGTGCAACATATGAAACCTAAGGAAGTAGCTGTGTGCAATGCGAAATCTTCAAATTTATAGAGAATGAAATCATGAACAAATTCCGACTACAACTATCGCTTACAACTATCGTATATACATAATTTCTATTGCTACGAAAAAGCTGTTGAAATCATTTTGAAATTTTTATTATAATTAATTTTTTCTGATTTTTTTGGTTTTGAGCCTCTTGTTTTTGGGGCAGCTAATTTGCATTAGAGCGAGATATGCTAGAAACGAATCGAATTTACTTAGATCTACATATATATAGAATGCATTAGCAGCTAACACATCTTAATGCACGATACTATTTACAGCTAGCTAAAGTGGTATTTACCATTCCATTCATGCCAATAGTTTAACTACTTTGTTGTTCCCAAAACACACTTTGTTGCACACTTTTTGAATAAAGCATACCGAATTTTGAATCTAATTTATTGCTACTCAAATACTTAAGTGTAGTTTGCCTATAAGCGAAATGATAAAACACATCCATATCTTGTTTGTTTTTTTTTTTTCGCACACTTAACTAAGCCAACTCAGTGAGAGAAAGAGATAGGGTTGGAGGGGAATTCCCCATCTAGGGGGCAATGCTAGAGTACATTTCATTAGCTGCGACACGCACACAACACAGACACGGGACAGGCTGCTTTTGGGTGGGTTGGGTTCTTAATACATAATACGCAGAGATGAGCCATTGAGAGTTAAAGATATATTCGTGGCACGAGTCGTGGCCCTAAAGGCCAGCTGTCAATAATAATGAAGATAATAATAATAATAATAATAATAATAATAATAATAATAATAATAATAATAATAATAGTTTAAATACTGCAAATATTTATAATAATAAGATAAATTATGTAAACAAAAATCATACTGCAATCATATAAAAAACTTATATATTAATAATAATAATAATTAATAAAAAACAAACAAGTTAGTAAAAAATAAATGAAATATTATTAGAAATAAAAATAAAAGTAATTAAGAATTTTTATTTATATTTTGTTTTTAATAATAACAATACATTAATAAATAATCCTTAGATAAATGTTTATTGTAGAAAAAATCAATCTTAAATTTTTAAAAAATATATATTTTATATATAATAATAATGCATACTCCATAATTTTGTCAAAAAATATTCACAACAGTAACAAAATAATAATAACAAAAACAAAAACTTACATTGTGTTTCAAGCACTTTTCTCACAGTAAATAAAGCGTGACACGATATATCCACACGCGCTCATCTCTTTACCACTTCTTTATATAAATAGTTTTGGAATTGTTTGTTATACTCGTTTTTCTGTTTTTTATTATTTTTTTCTAGGGTTAAGCAGCTTGACCTTATATTAGGCAGAGGCAGTTCTTGCTCGGTTAGAACTTGTCTCGACGTCTGTGTGTGCTGGCCGAATTCTATATCCATTTGTTTTTGGACATGGACGAGCGGAGTCGGCGACCCCACATCAGGTTGTATCATACAATCGTGCCCTGCAAATGCTGCGGCGACGGCGCCTGCGACGACTGCGGCAGCGAGTCCTGCGCCTGCAGCGAGGCGCCCGACGAGGTGCTCGGCCCGGGACCCAGATCGGCGGTATTTATGGCCAGCGAGGAGCCGGCGCCCAGCATGCCGCCGCTGCTGCCGCCCCCGCCACCGCCACCACCACCGCCACCGCCACTGCCACCACCGCCGCCGCCGCCGCCGCCTCCTCCGCCAGAGCTGCCGCCAAGTGCCGACGGATTAATGCCGCCCACACCGCCGCCGCCCAGCACACACGGCACGCCCAACATGGGCGTTGGCTCCTCGGGCGGCGTCACTTGCAATGAGATTTGATTCTAGAGAGAGAGCGAGAGAGAGAGAGAGTAAGGGAGTTGAGCAAATCTTTAGGCAGAGTGAGCGGGAGTCCATTACCTCCATGCCAATGCTGCCATTGAGTGATATCTTAATGGGGTTGCTGTGATTGGTGGCCTGCATCAGTGTGGTGAAGTGACTGATGCCGATCTCCTCCAGCGAGGACTTGCGACGACCATGGCTGACGCCCACGCTGGGCAGGCCCTGCCGCAGCGAGGACGAGCGACGCAATAGTATATCGTTATCGATCTGCAAGTACAATAATATTGGACACATCCAAAAGGCAGAGGCCGGATTAGAGACTAGCGGCAACAAGCGAATGGCCAAAACAAAACGAAATACAAGAACACACAAAGACACATGAATTACACAATACAAATTGGCTACAAGAATTTCTCTCTCTTTTTTTTCGGTCTCCTAAACACACATTGAAGTGAAATCCGTGCCGCACGCTAGTTGATTAAATTGTTATTATTGTTATTATTATTATTTGATCGTGATGATTAGTATTGTTGCTGTTATTATTTCGTTACGGTGTTTATATTCGTTGCGGGTGCAAAAACCAACTCGAGTTAACGGAAACGGAAACGTGATGTGGACATATCCGTTGCGTGCGTGCTTTATGGTTATGAATGCTTGCTGAACAGCTTTAGTTGTTCTTGTTGTTGCTGATAGTTGTTGTCATTGTTGTTGTTGTTGTAGTTGTTGTTGTTGTTGATGTTGGTCTGGCTGTTGCGGCTGTCGAGTGCTGCGGCTTTTCGAAACGCTTCAATTTTGTGAAATGGATTGATATTTGCGAGTCTTTCGAAAACGAAATGCAACCAAATTTTGATGCTCTACATGAATCTATGTGTTTGAGTGTGTGTGTGTGTGTGTGCTAGCAGTGTGTGTGTGAGCATTGTTGCATTTTATACATTGTGCTTCTTCATACAACAACTGGGTGTACGATTGCTCAAGTCTAGGTGTCATGTTAGCCAATTAGTTAAAGTAAAAACAGATTTCGGTAAACCGAAACATTCAATACCCTTGCAGCTCGTTGGTAAGTATAAATTGAGCCACTATCTTTGTATAATACTAGGTATGTATTTGATTGAAGAAAATTTTAATCTATCTCTATGTGTATATATAAAAAATAAAAAATAAATGAATATAATAAAAAAATAAAAATAAATAAAATAAAATATATATTTTTTCTTTTAATTTAAATTAAAAAAAAAATAAATAAATAAAATAAAATATTAAAATAAAAATAAAATATGTAAATATATATTTTTTTTTCTTCAATTTAAATAACTAAAAATTTGAATTCCCTCGTAAAATATGGCTATAAAAATGCTTTCCAAACTTAAGAAAAGCAACGTAACATTTGAGGAAAACTTCTTTTTGAAATATTCATTTTTGCATGCTAGTTTGATTCCTATGAGAAACTGAGAAGGTAATTATACATTTTATGGCTCAACTTGATATTCATGTTTTTGATGTTCCTGACTCAAAAAACTTTCAAAGTTTTCGCAGCTAGATAAATCGATTTAAATTATTTTTACTGTTGCTGCAAAGGTATTGAAATGATAAATATGTATAGCATGTAGCAGATAAATATGTATTTATGCAAAGCCAGAGCGGCATTGATAGATTACGAATTTAAGGCATATATGAGGCAACTCTGGCATTGGATAAACACACAGTTATCTAGGTAAAGTTGTGGACACAAATGGAGTGGAGTATATTTCTTGGAGTGTCGATAAACGTGAACGCAAAAAACAGGAAAGTGGAAATCGTGTGTCTCAAATCGAGAGGCAGTGAGTGAGTGAGACAGTTATGGAGTAAAACAGAGAGAGACAGTGACAGAGAGGGGAAGAGAGATAGGTGTAGGAGGTGTGGATAGAGAGAATAATAGCCAACCCGCAATGAGTTACTCCTGCCGCGCTGCGAGCCAACCACCGTCGGACTGTCGGGTAGAGAAAGAGAATTCGATTTAATTTGCTGCATCGGGGGCGTACAGCGCTGCGATGATCCATACCCGGCCAATGTCTGAACGCTCTGCATTTGCATGGGGTTCAAACCGGCGATGCCGGAGCCGCGTCGCGAACCAGCTCCGACGGCGGTGTTGCTCATATTTGGCATTTGCGGGCCACAGGTGGCGCCCAAATTGATGTTCGAACAGAACGATATGTTCGACTTGCGGCGCGAATTGTGACGCTCGAAGGTCTTTTGGGCCGAGAACGGTGAGGGGCGCACCAAATAGCTGTGAATTAAATATTGAGATAATGAGTTGAACAGAAATTAATTAGCTTGAATTTAAATATATTAAATATTTGTAGGAGATTTGTATTTATTATAATATTATATTAATTATTAGAACTATTTGCAATTAAATCAAAAACCTTTTTAAGTCTATAACTTTGGTAGTAACATATAAGTATTTAAAATCAATTCGCATGTCTGAGAGTTAATTAACTAACTTATACTTTCTACTATGAGTTCTTTAAAATATTCATTAGACCATCTTAGAGCAGCTTAAAAGCTTTATAAATTGAAGAATATGTTTAGAATTTGCCAACAAAGCTTGGGCTCTATCAACTCTATTCAAATTACAAACTAGTTTCAAGAAAAAAAAAAAAAACATCAGCCAATCCCTGTTTTATTCTGCTCCACTGTTCCCTAGATCAACTATAAGAAATCGTACTCATTCGCTCTCGCTCTGAGCAACAGCCGAAGGGCATTCCGTTTCTATCGTTTTTGTTTACAGCTGAGCGTCTAGGCTATATAAGTTTCTTGAACAGTAAAGTCAACCCTCTCTCGAAGCATACTCACATCAGATCGCCCTCCTCCAGCTTAAGATCACAGCTTGGATTGATTATCACATAGGACAAATGATTGCGCTTCTCGCTGACATCGTCGTAGTCGATGGTTGGCAAATTGAGCGACTCCATGCGACTGCGCACCAGATTGGCGATCTCCGCCCGCTCGATTTGCTGGGCGTGATTATCGCGTGCCTCGTCCGCCAAATTGATGGAGTACTGCAAGAGATGTTGGTCCAGCCAAAGATTAGAAATGTATGCAAGTCGTAGAATTTATTGTCAATTTGTTAGTTACACATTGATGCATATGTGTGTATTTGTTTGTTTGTGTCTGTGTGTGTGCAGTGATAATGTTATCTTAGATATATACTCAGTTTTCTGGCATCCATCACCAACAGCATGCGTCAAAGCGTTCAAGAACCAAGTTACAAAACGAACTAAAACTCACCTACCTCTCGCGACACGCCCACAATTGTGATATTTGTGTGTGTATGTGTGTGGTTTTTTCTATGGACTTGAAATGAGTTTACTTACGGATGATCCTTTACGCTCCGCACAGCCGCCCAGGCAATTCACTGACTTCTGGCGTGGCCGGCCACCACCGCCACCACCTGCACCACCACCAATACCACCACTACCACCACTACCCGCTGTCGGCGGACGATATGTAACACCTCGCAGCATTTCCGTGCTATCCTTGGTGGAGTCGGGCGTGCCAGTCTCCTCATCATACTTTCCATGGAATTGTTTTTTTTTGTTTTTAATTTTTTTTTTTGGCCGGGTCGAGATGGTTTTTGGTATGCAAATTTCAATGAATTTTTCGGTTAAACACAAAATGATTTACATTTTTAATTGATTTTTAATTGAAATGGCAGATTGTTTCAGTTTTATGCATGAATAATGTTTCTCTTTAAATATATATGTATATAATTTTTTTTCTTTGGGCTTTATGCTCATTTAATGTCTTTATATATATAATATATAGATATATGTATAGATGTATTATTTAATGTGTGTGCGTGTGCATGTGTGTGTGTGTGTGTGTGTGTACAAAAAACAAGGTAACATTGAATGTGTGTTGTTAGTCATGCCGAATAAAATGTTAACTAAAAGCCAAAACATGTTCGTAATCAATTTTTCGTTTATAATCAAATTAATGGAAAAAGCATCGAAAGAAAATCGAAAAAGAAAAACTGAAATGAAAAACTATTGTTCATAGAAAGGTGCTTTGCAAGCGCTTGTTCACAAATTCGCGCAACGAAATGATCGAAAAGTCAATTAAAAATCTAATTAATATGCTAAATGAAATGGTCTCTTCAGGATTTTGCCTATTTCGTGCTTTGCAGCTCGAGTTTCATAGTCGCCGTTCGTTTCGCTAATTTGTATCGATTTTTTAATCAAGCTAAGCAATTTTAATGAGCATTTCGACACACGAAAGTTTTCAAGGGTGTATCTATGTATTTTTTTAAATTTTTTTAAATTGAAATTAAATTGGTGGAATAACGAACAGAATAAAAGCTAAATACTCTATGGCAATTGCTTTAATAAAATTGCTTTATATTGTATTAATAATAATAATAATGATAATGATTTTAAATGAAAGTTTTTATAAATGAAAAAATATATTTTTTCTATATAAATATTATTATTATTATTTTTTTGAATATATGTATAAACAAATGATTTACGTTAGGTGGATAATTAATAAAATATTTGGAAAATATAATAAAAATATATCACTTTATTTTTAAGTCAATAACCAAGCAACGATTATATAATAAATGAAGCTGTGGCCAACTTAGTGACTCGTGTTGGATAATTAATAAGTATCAAAGGCCACACAACACGAAATGCAACAAGAGGCGAGTCCAGACAGCTGCAAGGGGTTAAGCGGGTTTTGGTTCGGGTGTTTTACAACGCCTATGGACAATGTAATTATTTATGTTTTGTTTTTCGTGGCCAGCTATTGTCCTGGCGTGCAGGACGCACAACAAGCAAATGCAATCAGCTAATTAAAGGACTGCATGCAGAAAAATTAAAAATTAAAAAAAAAAAAAACGAAAACGAAACGGAAACGGAAATAAATTACAGCGAGCGAGGAGAAGAACAGAGTCATGCAAGCGAATTCCTAGCTAACTCTACTATACTATATATCTACACACACACACAGGCAAACTACTACTACTACTACACACACACATACACACACACACGTAGAATGGCCATAGAGAATGCTATGGCTTATGAGGCAGGCAGGCAATTGTTGTGAGAGTTGTATGAGAAATGTATTTGATTTTTTAAATAGATTTTGTTGTTGTTCTTGTTGAGTATATTTTTAGCATATATATTTTTTTGGTTTGTATTTTTAGTTTGTCCTTTTTTGACTAGTCTATAATTTGTTATTAAATATTTGTGACTCACTGCGTGCGTGTGCGTATTTTCAATAGCTGGTCAAGTCCAATACAAACGCAAATTAGTTTATTTTCATTTCAACATTTCATTTCGACAGACAAATTTGACAATGGGTCGTATGAGTAATTTATTCGCAAATTGGCGAGGCACCGGGGGAGCGCCAAGAAGGCTGGGGTATTTTCATTTTCTTTTGATTTATTTTTAGCTAATGTGTGTGTTTATATTACGAGTAAGGAGTAGGCAAAAGATGAGCTAAAAATGGTGGGAAAAAACTTTGGCAAATTCTTTCGACTGGCTGATTGAATAAAATATATAAAAATATAAAATCAACTACGAAAGTTTTTATCTTTTTTTGTTAAGGTTTATATACAAAATCAAGGGGGAAATTTTTATACAATTGATGCTAAATCAGCACGCTATGCTTTATGTATTCGAAAGGGTTTCTTTGGCTAAGCATATATATATATATATATATAATTTATATGTATATGAGGAAAGAAAAACTCTAGATCGTTGTTAAGCGAGTAAAAGTTACGTTAATTGAAATTTGATTAAAAATCTGTTTAGCTTTGCCATTACGTTCACAAGTTCAAGAGTAACAATTGAGAAAAAGAGAGTTCTTGTAGTAGTATAGTATATTGTATACGATTACTTATAAGTAGATATAGGATATATAGAATATATATTGAGTAAAATATGCAAATGAAGTTTAGATATTTTTTGTTTTTTTTTTATTGGCGCAGACTTGTCTCAAATGCAGTTAGTATCGAAGCGTAAGCGTGTGATTTAAAAACAAAATAAACTCAATGGACGAAACACTTAAAACAAAAGTAACACAAACTAAAACATAAACGAATGTCCGCTAATTAAATATTAAGAACCAAAGACTAACTTAAGCCAAGTACAAATCAATTTCATTTGAATTTCTTTTCTTGTATACCCAAGTTGTGAGCAAGAGACAGAGTTAGTTAGAGACAGACAGAGAAAGAGAGACAGGCTGTGTGAGTAGTGTATTTTTGGTGTGATAAGTTGAAGGCAAAACAAATTTTGGTTGTTTTAGTTCTGGTTAGTTTAGTTTAGGTGCGGCCAATCGGTTTGGCAAAAGGGGCCCAAAAGGTTGAAAGTAAACTTTGTTCGATTTCAGAGTTTGTTATTTTTATTGAATTTTGATTTTTTTTTTTCGTTGTTGTTTTCTTGGCTGGCTGCATTTGTTTTGGACTCACCGATGGACGCAAGCGCACACAATGCCTGCTGAAGGCGGAGAAGGGTCCCCATCTCTCGACCGGCGAGTTACTCACATGTGAAGTATCCGCATTGGAGGTGTCCTGCGTGCGATAGATACCGATCGGAATTTCGCAGGTGGTCGAGCAGAGTTTCTGATACAGACGCCCATAGGTGCGTATCCACATGTCATCTTTCGTAATGCGCATCTGTCGGGAAGGGGGAGAGCGGAAAAGTGAGCTTGCTTTATTTATTCTTTGAGTAATTTTTATTGTTGAGGTATTTGTTTTATTTATTTTTACTTTTTATTTATTAGTTTTTTATTATTTATTGTGTAGTGCTTTTTTTTGTATGACAATTAATATTTATTTAATTTTAAACTTTATTCATTTTTTTGTATTTATTTATTTTGTAGTTTTTTTTTAAGTTTTATTATATTTTTATTAATTTTTTTAATTTATATTTTTTTTTATATTATTAGTATTTTATAAATATTGTTTGCATTTAATTTTTATATATTATTTATTATTTATATTTTTAATTGCATTTTAATTTTTATATATTATTTATATTTTTAATATATATATATTTAATTCATTTTGTAATTATTATTATTTATTTATTTTTAATTTTTTATATATCTATTTTTTCGTTTTTGTTCTTTTTACCGAAGTCAAAAATCCACTGCCTGGCGCCTGATCAATGCCCAGCAAGAGTCGCACAAATGTAATCACATAGTCCTTGACAAATGCCTGGTAGAGCAGCGTGTCCAGCATGGAGGCACTGAAGACCGCGCCGGCGGCGAAGGGCAGACGAAACATGTACGAGATGTGCGAACCGCGCTCCTTCTCGCGCTGCAATTAAGTGAGCGACAAATTAACCAATGACAACTGCAACGATAAACCCCCCGCCCCGGGGCCCACCCTGTTACCGACCTTCTCCATTTTGCTGAGATGCAGTGCGTACTTGTCGTGCGCCCGGAACTGCATGAAACGCATATTGGAGCTCTGCGACAGCTCCGTGATGCTCTTGATGCTTGGAAAGAATCTGAACGGAAGTGAAGAAGAGTTAGACTTGAATACAGTTATCTCTTCAGATCGACTGCCTACTTGAACATATTTTGCACAGCAACTATCGTATTGCAGTCGGAGAGCGAATCCTCCTCGGCGGAGTTGGAGAGCTCCTTGTTGACCACCACAACACTCTCGGCCAGCGTAATGCCAGCGCGCAGCAGATCATCCAGGCAATCAATAGAGCCCAGCATCCAATAAACCTAATGGAAATGAGCAGTTAGAGGAGCTCTAAGGAGAGTGAGGATGAGGTAACTCACGAGTGGAAAGTAGGAGAGTGCGTCGAGAAAGGCGACATCGGGTCGTCGCTCCAGCAGCAATATAATGGGATTCAGTGAGGTCTTCGAGCGGAAATGCGCACGCAGTGGAATGATAAAGTTGTAAATGCCATTCGAGGCGTAGTCCGCAGCCAGAATGATGGTCTTGTTCTGCCATTGGTACTCCTTGGCATTGCGATAGCTGCAGTGCTCACAGACCTAGAGGGGGAGAGAGAGAGAAAGAAAGCGCCGGAGGGAAAGTTGAGACATTCGTGTTTTTTGTTTCTAAAACTTTCTCACCTGTGCCAGCTGCAGACAGCATAACGGTTTCTTCTCCTTGAGCAGGTAGCAAAGCGTCGGACTGACCCCAATGAAGGGCGAGACTGGCGGAAAACCCTTGACAATGCTGCAATGTAGAAAATTAAAGCGTTGCAGTTGTAGAAATCAGTAAATGCTTTTTCGATATTTGTCTTAAGCAAGAACAAATGAAAAAGAGGTTAAAGGTAAAGCGTTTCTCATTGTTCTCGAGTGCAGGATGTGAGCATCTAAAGAGGAGAAAACATGTGTCCTCTAACTACATGGCATCGGTATACATAGATGGTATCTGTATAGCTGATGATTTTCATAAAGTTTTCCTTTTAGCATGCAATAAATGTGGCCCAACCAACAGCTGCTACAACTGGCTAACTTGCTTGAGTCGGAGACTGGCCCACAACAGTGGCTCTTATCGCAACTGACTGTTACATGGCCCTTGGCCAGCAGCAGTGTAAATGAACAACAACAACAACGGCAGCAGCAACAGCAGCAACAATAACAACAAATGAAGTCCAAAGAACAACTTTTGTATGAATGCAAACGACAAACGACAAACGAGGAAGATGCAACTCAGCGTTAAAGCAAAGAATGAAATAAACAACGAAATTGAAAATAAAGGAAGCTGAGGCGTAAGCAGAAACATCAACAACAACAATAACAATAACAACAACAAGAGTGTGGTAGTGTAAAATGTTGGCATAGAATAGTCGCATCGAACGACTATATAAATACGCTGTAAGCACGATAGGTAGGTAACCTACAAATACCTAAAGCTGAATTTTTCAACGGCATATCTGTAATTTATTATATCAAAGACAAATTATTTTATGATAAATTCTTATTCCTATTTTTTTTTAATTTTCTGTAAATGTTTTTTAAAGCATTTTTTATAAATAAAAGAATAAATTAGATAATTATTTTTTATAAATAATTATTTATTTTTTTTATAATAAAAAATAAATAAAATTATTATTTATTTTTTAATTATAAAAATAAAATAATCATTTTTTTTATTTATAAAAATTTTTTTATTATAAAAAATTAATTATTACGAAAAAATTCTGTAAAAACTTTTTTATTTATTAAAAAAAGTAAAGAATTTTTATAAAAAATTAAATGAAATAAATTTTTGTATTTATAAATATTCCTGATTTTTAACATTGGTCAGTTGTCACTAAAAATATGCTGCATAAGCTAGCATTAAATTTATTATTATTTGAGCAAATTTTTTTTATCATATTTTAAATTCAATTTAAATTGCCAAAATTTTCATTAAAACCAACTAAATTCTTTAACTTTCGCTTAGGACAGCTGTCACTGGCTATACGTTCCATTAGCTAGCATTTAATTGTTGTTAGGGTATAGCTTAAACAGCACTGAAAACGTGAAAGAGCATCATCAACAAATCTCAAGTCGTAGCGCGCTCCGTCCAAGGTAAACGTTGCAAGTCATTAAAAAGTGCCCTGCGGCAGGCAACTAGCGACTGTTGCAAGCAAACAAAATATTGCATAAGAAGCGGCAGCAATAGCAACAATAATAATAGTAACAGCGGCAGCAACAACTGCAACAGCAACAGCAACAGCAACAGCAAATAGCAACGATAACAACTCTTCAACAATGGAACATTCCAAAATGCACAGCCCGAGTTGCAGGTGTCTTGTGGCCCGCTGTGTGGCGGCGCCTCGAACGGGCGGCAACTTACCCGGAATAGTCGGCCGCCCACACCGGACGCGCCAAGCGACGTGTCTCTGCGGAGCTGCTCGACGTAAAGCCAAAGCCAGGAGGCGGTGGCGGCGGCGGGGGCGGGGGCGGCGGGGCTTGGAACGGGCACTGGGCTAGGCTGTGAAAGTGCGCCTGAACGGCAGCCGCTGCCGTTGTGGTGGTGGTGGCGGTGGTGGTGCTGCTGCTGCCACAGCTGTCGCGTGAGCAACTGTAGCAGCAGGAGCAGCGCTGCAACTGGCGACGTCGCGCCGCCAACAATGGCAGCGGACCACCGGCCAGACCCTGGCCCAGGCTCGTGTCCAAGCCCATGTCCGAGCCCAACCGCTGGCCAGACGGCGGAGCGCACTCGCTGTCGCAGCTGTAGCTCTTCTTCATGGCACGCCGGCGCAGCGACGCTGGCAGCGGCTGCGCTGCTGGCGCATTGGTGGCATTGGCATTGCAATAGCCACAGTTGGCGCCGCCCAGCGCGCTGCCACGCTGCTGATACGAGTCCTCCGAGGAGCTCATGATGAGCGAATAGGTGCGCGATTGTGGAAAGTGACCGCCCAAGCAACTGCGAGAGTTCAGGTTTTTTTTTTGGATTTGTTTTTTTTTTTCAGCGTTTCATATGGAAGAGGAAATTAGGGTCTAAGGCTAAGGCTAAGCTAAGTGTTTTCTTGAGGTGCTCAAGGCAGGATTATTGTTACAGCTAAGACAACATAAATATATATCTATATATCATAAGCTTATATTGAGGGGACTGGGCTGGAGCGATATTTTCAGCATTTGTTGTAAAGTTGATATGGTAAAGAGTATAAAAAGAAAAAGAAATACATATATGTATTTAAACTAAAATAAATACTAACAGAAAAAAGAAAGCATGACAAATACAAAATAAATAAAGTACAAAAATATAAAAAAAAAATATTTGGAAATTAATTCTTTAATTAATTTTTTTTTTTTTTCAATTTTACACAACACTTCCATTAGTTTGCATAAAAAATCTATCTTTATATAAATAATAAATCGATAATAATAAAATGATGAAAATATCGCTGGGAGTTTATTTACATATATAGACAAATAATTTAGGCAGCTCTTTGATAGCACGCCAATCGGAAGATTAAATTCTTACACATATAACAGTTAGAGAGGTAAAGTTAGGTACAGTTAGGGCTGCATCTAGTAGTTAACTATGTGAATTGAGGTCTTTGCATTGCTTTTTAGTATTTGTTAAAAGTATTTTTTCTCGTTCTTTTGGGGAGTACACATAGTTACAGTTATGCATATATATAAGTTTGCTATTATTACAAGGGGGGATTTGGTGGGAAATGTGCCTCAGTTATCAATTGGTTAATCAAAAGAAAAAGAAAACGGAGTTACTCGGGTTGTGGCAGACATAGAGAGGAAGCTAAAGGCCAAATGCATAGACTTACGCAATTTTCTCTGAGGGCGAACGCCAAGGCATCTCATCGTCAATCTCATCGTCGCTCTCATCCCCCTCCTCGCCGTCGTCGTTGCCGGCTATGCTAAACGATGAGGACGTAAACATATCCGGCACGGGCAATATGGAGGGTCGACGACTGCCTGTGGATTGTGTGAAAACATAACGGTTATTTGGGCCAAATTGAGCTCTAGTGTTACGCTGTCTGCTTGGTATTTATGTATATCTTACCTCGACGCTGATTGAGCACATCGGGACTGAGCAGATTGGGATTGTTGGCGAACGGCACGTCCAGGTGATTGCCCGTGGTGGTCAGTGCGGCAGGTGTGATGCTCAGCGAGGTGCCCATGTTGAGGCCGACGCCCAGGCCGCCGCCACCGCCGCCGCTGCAGCTGGAGCTGGCCTGATTTTGGCCACCCGTCCCACTGCTGCCAGCTGCACCCCCACCACCTACCACTAGCGATGTTGTTGTTATTGTTGTTGTCGTCGTCGCAGCCGCCGCCGTCGGTAAATGCGTTGTGCTCACCGTTGTGTCCTTTAGATTCTGCCTGGAGTCCGATATTATCACAGCCGTCGGTGTGTCGCTGGCTACAGAGGGTAAATTTGCAATCGGAAATTCATTAGGATCTTTCGCTCAGTGTACGGCAGTGTGCGCGCTCAATTAGAGCGCAGTGCATTAACGCAAAGTATTAAGCACAAAATTTATAGCTACTTGAACAAAATGTCGTTGCTTTACATGTAAAATTCACTAATAGTTTAGCCAAACAACAAACAACTAGGATGAAGAAGCAGCACGACGACGGCACAAAAACAGAGTGGGTTGGAGGAGACACACACACTGAGAGAGAGAGAGAGAGAGAGAGAGAGAGTGACAGAGAGAAAACGACGTGCAGAGGTAGAGAACCTGTTCAACTCATTAAAAGTCTTTTCAATTCAAGGACCAAGAACTGTGCAGCTGACAAAGTTGCCCATTACCAAGTGGTTAACAGCAGGAGAAGCAGCACCAGCACAAGCAGGAGCAGATGCCAATGACATTAGCTTAAAGCGAGTCTTGAATACGAAATTAATCATGTGAGAAATAATATATTAAGAGGATAACTTTCAAAATTCTCTTTAGTACATCAAACGACTTGGATAAAAAACAACATAAATAAATGAAATAAAATTCCATTTCCCTAAGCAAAAAGCTCAAATTGGTTATAGTATTATACATATATTGACTTAAGCCTTTAAACATTTAAAAACTTTCGCTAAATACATAAAATTTTTTTAAAAAATATATATAATTATTATTATTTTGATTTATTTAATCATCAAATGATAGTCATATTCCCATAACATTAAGATTATTTCTCATCCTAATCTATTTCCCATCAACATTCAACTTTCAGCTGCTGTCATTGGCGTCTGAGCGCTGTCAAGTTTTTGGCCTCACGATATTGAGTTTCAGTTAAGGTGTGTAGTTGGAGCTTAATTGCGTTGGTTCACAGCACAGTCAAAGCCACAAGTTGGCTGGCCTAATGACGCTGCCTCATTTGCAGAGGCTTGTTACCACGCTTTAATTAAGACGAAAGGCGACAGCAGCCACATAAATTTCAGCCACAAGATACACGAGTATTTTGATAGAAATATTTCCTAGGCTGCCTTTGGCAGACACGCAACAGTTGCCGCCGCGGCCACAGACGGATGTGGGCACACGCTGCGTATACACGATGTGGCCAAGGTGCACAGCATTGCGTATACGCGATGTGTGCCAACAAGAAATTGTTGCGTGTACATTGCATATAATTTACAATTGACAGGAGCCTCTACGAACACAATATCAACTAGCAATAAAAATCAATAAATAATCGACAAATAGAGAGAGAGAGAGAGGGACAGGGAGAGAGACAAAAACATTTAGAAAGGGGTTCACAGTATGAGACATGCAATAAAATACGTCGAAAGGAACAAGTGCTAAAAGCAAAATGAAGCAAAAGACAAAAATAGCATCGCGGAAGTAACTGAAATTGCTTCAGCCTAGTGTGCGAGTGTGTGTGTGTGTGTGTGCGTATGTGTGTGGGTGACACCTGTCGCTAATGGCTTTCAAATAGCGGAAAATGTTTGTCGGGCTGGGCAGGCTTACAAATGGGTCCAAAGGCATTTACAGGCGCTAAGCAAAACTTAAGTTCTAGACAAAAATAAAACATGTATATAAAAAGAGAAGGCAATACAAAGAGTGTTAAGTATATATATAGAGAGACAGACAGAGACAGAGAGAACTAGAGGTAAAGAGTACTGTTATGTAAAGGTGATAATTATTTAAATGTTTTGGATTTGGATTTTGTTTTGCATTTCTTTCGGCATGAATTAGTATATAAAAAACTTTTGGAGTCGTTCAGTACAATTGGAGAAGGTATTTTGTTTTTGTTTTTTTTTAGTATTAGTTTTGGGGATTTGCTTTTCTTGGAGTCACACTCACGCACAAATAGTGTTGTATAATCACTGTCACATGTTAGTTGTTGCATTTGCGGATACGGTTGCGGTGATGGTGACGGTGACGGTGGCGGATACGGATACAACGGTTGCAAGTGTTGCCTCTCAATTAGGGGCGTGCCGGCGCCAGAGTCATAGGTGGGACTATGGGGCACACGAACACAAACAGACGGCACGGCTGCAATCGTCGATTGATTCAAAGCGATTGCTGTTGCAGTTGCTGTTGTTGTTGTTGATGCTGATGCTGATAATAATGTTGATGATGTGAGAGTCGTGCTAATTGTTGTTGGTATTGTTCTGGTTGTTGTTGTTGTTGTTGTTATTGTTGATTGTTTTGTTGTTGATGTTGTTGTTGTATTCGCTACACATACATTATACGATATATATGATATTATATTATATATATATGTAGATATATATATATATATATATGGTATGTGTGTGTTAAGGAGTGTGTGTAGGTGTGTGTGTGGAGATGTGCGTGCATGTGTGTGGGCAGTTAGTATATTTTTTTTGGTCTAGTTCTCAGCTATAGTACTCAGAGTTGCCAAGATCTAATGTGACTTTATCGATGATATGCTTAGTTCTAGTTTATCACAGTATTTGCTATCCAGGTATTACTTTTATATATTTTTTTGTGTATTTTTTATTTTTCTTCTGTGATTTTTTTTTTTTTTTTTTTTTTTTTTTTTTTT